GTTTTGATTTCTTCAAATAAATTTTTTTTTTTTCCATTGCCAATAGATTTTTCAGATCCTAATATTTTTGGAATTTTTATTTTGAAAGGTTATTTTCTGAAAATTTGCTTGAGCCTTAGCATATAAGGCCTTCAAATTTGTTTGTTTAATTGAGAGTGCTTTAATTTTTTGCTTAATTTTATTTGTGTTTTGTTAGGGAAATTTCATAAAAAGGTTCTTTAAATTATTATTATTATTTTTAAACAATTTGGTAAAATTTTGGGTAGATATATTTTTGTATGAATATAATCAGTAGTAATTGTTTTTTTTTTTTGGCTTGAAGTAGTCTTATATTTGTTGAATATATTGTAATATATATATATATATATATACACACACACGTGATATATGTGAGATACATAAATAATTGTAAAACAACATTATAGAATGTGTCTATTAAAATTGATTTGAATAATTGCAACTATTCAGATCAATCTTAAAGTGTTATCTGCATAGAGAGTATATCCAAACAACATTACGTTCAAGGTTATAAATCAAGACTTTGTGAAGTTAGATCGATTTGATGGATCTAATTTTACTCATTGGAAGGATAAATTAATGTTCCTACTCACTGTTCTTAAAATCTCATATGTTCTGGAACCAAATCTTCAACCATTATCAAAGCCACAAATCATTCTTCCTTCTTTAATTCCTTGTATTTGCCTCAACAATATTTAATCCCCCCCCCCCCCCCCAACAAAAAAATATATATACAATCTTGGCTCCGCCCCTGGGTGGTGGGGGTGGTAGTGGAAGTTGATGGCGGTGTTAGTGGAGGTGGCAATAGTGGTTGAGGTCAAATCTCACCTAGATGAACATTTTGGCCAAACTAAAACAATATAGTGCTTTTATGGCCAACCCAAAATAATAATAATATTTTAATGTTACGTAAATGTTGAGGTGATTTGATTTTAGCAATATAGTTTTTTCTTTGAGTAAATTACACTAACACCCTTTCAGGTTAGATCAAATCTTACCTAAATGAACATTTTGGTTTTAACTTTCGCTAACATTTGAAAGAGTGGTTCCATATTTCACTTACACCCAAAATATCAATTTTTAGTGGTGTCATAATACTTTTTAGGTTTAAAATGACTATGATACCCTTTTGACTTTTTATTGACTTTATTTCATATATAAAATGACCTAACTACCACCAAGACCTATTTTAAATTACCAAAATATCCTAAACTTTTAACCCTTTTTTCTTATCTCGCTAAATGTGTGTGTATGTATATATAGATAGGGGCAGAATTATTAATGGGCTAACTTGGGCTATAGCCCAAGTCTAATAAAAAAAAAGTACTATTGTTCCTATAAACCCAGTCCATATGTAACCAATTTTTAGTACTACTCTTCCTCTCCTATCAGCCCGATTGTTCTTGTGTTTATCTGTGATACCCCTCGATTCTAAAGTCACAAGTGATCAAGTCTGAGCACAGATCTGAGGTATACCAAATAATTTAGTATATCTATAAGCATTGAGTAGAAAAGAAATAAAGAATAAATAAGCTGAAAGAAATCTAAATAATAATCCTTAAAATTGTAATTAAATAATCCAATATTTCCAAACTTTCAATATTATTACAACTTAGGAATCCATCTAGCGGACCTCTAATAATATCACAACTGGAAATAAAAATTGAACTGAACTGAAATAAAATTCAGAACTAAAACATGAAAAGTCCTACGTAGTCGGAAGAGTGAGTGATTGTTTCTGCTCGGCACGAACAAACTCTAAGTCTGGAACTGTCGAACACTTGAAAAAATAATAGTGGGACAGGCCTACGAACAAGTTCTACTCTACTATGATCCAAACAGAGACCCGATACACAAATACATTCTAGACAACTCAACAATATCTAAATAGTCCATATATATATAAATACACACTATAGGACGCTCATTGGACTATAGGTCTGTCTCAACCTGAATAGAAGGCAACATGCAAATCACACATAAAGTGGGTATGTGTACCTAGAACTACCAGGGCACCCAGATGTCTATTATATCCAGTTATCTATCCTAGGCAATATACGCACCCTAACAATGATCCTGAGACTCAAGCTCATATCATGGTACCATAATCATATATGTAAATCCATCCAAGACTAATGTATGTCGTTCAACTGTCATTACCTTGACACAAATATAAGTAGGACTTAACTTTTATGGTTAATCTTCCAGAATAGGTAGGACTTATCGTTTTGAACTAATCCATCCATAATAGGGCACCGTCCTATACCGGTGTATATAATCCACAAAATCCAGTAATTAATTGAACAAAATAAAGTAGTTCATTAGTTAAAATTCAGAGAATGATATAATGAAGATCAGATAAATAACTGAGCACATTATATTGAAATATTCAAGAGTATATTCATATTAATCCATTTAACTTGCTAGAACAACAAGAAGCAATTAAATCATCCATAATCATTAACAGCATGCAAATCAATATTTAAATTTCATGATGTCCAATATTTTAGCATAATAGCATATATTAATCTTTCTGCAATTTTAACATGCTCATTTAAATCATTTAAAATCCCCATAAAAGTCCAAATTAACATTCCAGCCCCTGAAAACCCAAAAACCATAAAAAATACACCTATAGGTGTACTGCCAGCAGGGGAGCCGCCTCCCCTAAGGAGTGTAATACCCTTAGTTTTCAAAAGGATATAATTAAAATTTAATTTTTTTTTTATTTTATTTCTTGTGCATTTTTAGTTACTTACGTGACTATGTGTTTATATGGCTTCATATTATATATTTAAATGAATTAATTGTTTAATTATAAGGGTGTGCTTAAGTGTTTTTTTTTTTTTTAAATTAATTGTTGTATGAAATTATTTGTTAAAAGATGATGTGTCGGTTTAAATGTAATTTTATTTGCTTGATTAAAAATGTGTTTTATTTTATTTTTAGTTTTAAAATGAGGGATTTGGATAGTAGTAATAGACCAATAGTTAGGTCTCATAGACTTCTTGAATAGGGGTTGCTTTTGGGTATGAATTATTACCCACATATGGTTGGTTGTATATATACTTGAGTATATATGTTTAAGAGGATAGGGTATTATTATTATTAATTATTTATTTTTAATGTTACTAATAGTAATATTATGTTAGTAGGTTAGATATATATATAAATAACTATAAATTATGTATATATATATTTGGTTATCACGTGTAGGACCTTATATGTATATGCAATAATATTTTAATTTTCTTTTCTTTTCTTTTATGATTAGCCGACTTGGTATCGGGTTGGGATTAGGGTTTGTATAAACCTATATATATATTTAAGGTTATATCTGCCAAGGGTTTTAGAACCTTATTCAAGTAACCGTGGAGGCAAAGAGAAAGAATAGAAAGGTTTGAGAGAAAATAGAGAGTGTTTGAGAAAGAAGAAACTAGGTTTTGGCCTAGGACTTAAGGTCAAACCAAGGAGGTAAATTGAGGGCTGTTCGGGGGTTGGAACCAGAGCAGTATGAAGCTTCGACGGCAGCCAAGGATCGCCAGAAAAGCTATGAAGTAGAGGTTAAGGTTTTAATCCGAAACCTAGAGGCAAGTTCTATCTCTAAACTCCTTCCCTTAGACTTGTGTTCTGTGCATGCCTAGATCATCTCCAGGATGTAATTGGATTTTAAAACCGATCTTGTATGCATATTAATTAAGAGTTTAAATTGGATTATGTGTTATAAAGTAAATTTGGTTCATCGTATCAATTGTTCAGTATATGTGTTTTAAATATATGTTAGTAATGCATACTTGGTTTATATGTCTTCTGAATAATTTTGGGACATAAATTGAATCCTAGGAACCTTACTAAACATTACATAGGGTTTTGTAATATTGTCGGAGGTGAAGAAGACGAAGGGTGCCAGTTACGGCTCTCTGGGATAGAGAGAGCCGGCTCTCCAAAGGAGGGTGCCGGCTCCAGGAGAGAGAAAGCCGGCTCTCCCTCATGGAGAGCCGGCTCCACAAGGTGTAAAGCCGGCTCCCCATGGATAAATTATACCAGAGGTGAAGATGAGCAAGAGACTAAGGAGATAGAAAACTAGACAAGGGTTGGGAAGGCTTTTGAAATCATGACGTGGCTAGCCATGCAAGCATCGGTCTAACAAATCTGTTAAAATAATCTGTCCTAATATCATTTTCCTTATTGATAAGGATAGGAAATCTAAAAAGACAATTGTGTCATTTAAAAAGTAATAATCATTTATTTGTAAAGTTAATATTAGAATTATCATTTCATTTAAGATTATAGTGTAAATATAGAAAAGTGGAGTGCGAATATCGTTTCCCTTTATATAATGTATTTCTCTATATAGATAGAGAGAGGAGAGATAAAGTTTATATCTTGATTGATATTTTCTTTCTTTATTTATTACCACAACAATGATTTATATATAATCCTACTCTATGTAGATAAATAGAGAGAGGATAGAGAAAGAAAGACACTAACTAGGGGTATTTTTGTTATTTACATTTATAAATATTTTGTATTATATTGAATTGAAAAAGTAAGAATAAATGAGTCCATTGTTTGAGTCCAAAAAGTAATTTGGTAGTGCAAGTAAAAGTTAAAATTAAAATATTTATTTAGGTAGAAATTTGATCTAACTGAAGCGGTGTTAGTATAATTTACTTTTTCTTTTTGTGGTTTATGTAAGATTTTGTTATTCAATAGCCCAAAAGGCTACAATAGTTGTTGCCCACTGTTCCCATTTTGGCTTTTATTTATTTATTTATTTATTATTTTATTTATTTTACGTTTCAGTTATTCAAAACGCAAAATGTTAGTAGTACTAACTAATAAACAATCTCAAAGAAAATAATAAAAAATAAAAAACGAACCGACGCAGAACGGCAGAAGTATTGTCAAACAGGGCCTTAAGCTAAAGCCCGTTCAATGGTCGGCCCATCTTGGTTTTTAGTCTTTTAAAAACCCAAAAAAAAAAAACCACAGTAGTAGCCGACTGAAGATCGTTTTCTAGACAGAGAAAGTAGAGAGAGAGAGGAAGAATGGGGAGGAGCTCGGTAATTCGTCCGTGGATGCTACGCCATCTCCTTCGCAGCAGGCCAGGTATTACTCCATTATCTTCTCTCAGAGAAACCCCAATTTCATCTGCGAACAAAGTTTCAAACTCTTCTCTAAGTACTTCGAGAGCATTGTTCAATTTCACTATCGCCCCAATAACCACCGCAACATTTCTTCTTCCGGAGCATTTCAACCTTTGCCGAAACTTTTGCTCGTCATCCTCAGGTATCTCTCTATTCCAAAAATAATAGAAAGCTTGTTGTTTTCAAGCTTTAGGGTTTTACTTTTTGGTTTCTTAATTGTTGTTGATATCATGTACTAAATTATGGTGCCTCTGAGCTTTAATTAATTAATTTATTTTGGTGTAGTTTCTTATTGAAATAAAAAAAGTTCACTGCTTAGGAGAATACTTATATTGGTTTTAGAACCTGCTAGGATGAATTTCTCAAAACATTGGTTTAAAAATAAATAGGGGAGTGCAAGAGAACATGCATACGGGACATAATTTCTTTATTGGGTAGATATGTAAACAATTACAAAACGATATGAAAGAAAACAAGTTCATTGAAACATGAAATGTAACAAGACATGAAATCAAATCTGATTGTTGTATTTGGTTTGTCACAATACTGATAAATTTATTTATTATTATTATTTTTAAAAAAAACTTTTAAAGAGTATTTCACTGTCTCACTGAACCCAAAAATTCAATTACTTATGGTGGTTGTTCGGATTTGAAAAAAAGTTCATATCGGGATTTTTGTTTCTAAATTCCTATTGTCAGTCTCCGTAAGGGGTTTTTGCTGTTTACTTTGAAAAGCAATTATCTTAGTTTCTTGCTGGACTTGCACAAGGATTAAGGTTCAAATTACTCGTAAGTGCTGCTGCAACTGTAAGAGTTTGTCGTATATCTTAGAGGAAAAGAAATTTTGGAAATTCTACATAAGAAGCAGAGACAAAACCTCGATGTCTCAAGTTCATTTAGACTGAGATAGACTTGAGCTTTCTGTAGTGTAAAATAAATGATTGGAATTACTTCAGTTGTTTTAAGTGGCGGCTTTGAGATTGGGAGTTATATGGCATAGGGAATGCCTTATGTTGATGCAAGATTCTGTGGTGATCAAGAACGATGTTGTAGAAGCAGAGAAAGAAAGAGTAATCGAAGGGGCACTGGTGTGGTACCGGCCAAAGGGTTTCCAACGATTACTCACGCTTTGGCCGGTACCACACCGGTGCCCTTCGATTATTCTTTTTTATTTTATTTTTTTATATGCAGCTACGATGTCGTTCCTCGTTGCCACAGAATCTTGCATCAACAACTTAAAAGTAAGGATTTTTTTTCCTGACTCACTAATAAAAAAAACGTGAGATTTTTTTTAGGATGTAGCATGAATTTGAATGGTAGAGGATGCTGGTAGAGACAAATCATATGTTGAGGTATTGCCATATTGGTTTGTTACTTTAGTTCATCACAATTTTTGATTTTTGAATTTTTTTTTTTTTGTAGTATTGGTGAGAATTTTATGAGAAGGTTGAAGGTAGAAAATTCTGTTGCAGGTGCATTTCGATGAAAACATTGGGTGTAATTCAGGTCCATAAATAAAATTTCGTGCAAATGAGAGAGTTGACTAACCCCTTAATGCCTTCTTATGATTTGAGTCTCTAGAGTAGCCTTCATTCCAGAATATGGAGAAATTATTACTATCTAATAATTTCTCCTGAATATGGGCAAATAGCATATTTTGATGTATTTGAGTAAGTATATGATCCCAATGACATCAGACTGATATTTTTTTATTCAGTTGCTGATATTTAGCGACTATATATATTTTACATATTCTTACTTATCAGAAACATTTTGGGGCAATATTTATGAATGCTTTTGGGGGTAGAAAAATTTATGTGCCCTTCAATGCAAATATTGGGTGTAATTCATGTCCTTGCATGTATTTCCTAATCACCAGTTTTAATTTTTATCTTGTTTAAATATAGGTATTTGCGGTAGGTATTCATGCATGAATTCCCTAAAGTTCTTATAACTTAGTTTTGGTGCTTCGTTGCTTTTTTTTTTTTTTTCCATCCATTTTGATGAACTGATTCCTTTATTGAAAAGTTGCTATTGTTATTTGTGTAAAAATAATATTAATTTGTTGAAACAATCCAGGTTCATGCTGTTTATAATTTGCTAAATCTTTAAATTAGTTCCAGGTCCATCAAATATGGTGGTGATTGAATCTGAAGAGGAATTCAATAGTTCACTTCGCAAAGTTCAAGGTATATTTTTGTATTTTATTTATTATTTGTTTTCATATGTTAGTATTTGGTTCACCAGTTACAAAGGCTTTGGTGTTGCTTACTTATTTATTAAAACCTATTGTAACAGATGAATCTTTGTCAGCAATATTCTACTACACTGCATCATGGTGTGGGCCGTGTAAGATTCTTATGGGTGATATGGATACATTTATTTTTATATATTAGAAATTAATGTTAACTAGGATGTTTAATGTAAAGGGTTTTGCGTTACCATTTTATTGTATATTCACATCTTGTGCAGGTAGGTTGTTAGCTCCTATCCTTAAAGAGGAGAGTGAGGACTACCCTCATGTCACCACATATAAAGTTGACATTGATAAGGTATGAGGGAAGTTTGATATTAAGTTGTGTTTCTGAGCTGGGTTTCAAAAAAGCATTCCCGAGGATTGCCTCACAACCTAGTATCTTATTAATTTAGCCTTTATTCTTGTTGGTGGTTCACACATTAAATCTCTGAATATTATATCGTGGTGTCCATATGCGCAAGATCGCAATTTTTAAAGGGCAACAGAAAATGATTTGAATTTGTGTTAAGGGAAACAATGTTTGGGTGACTTCTATGGACGTACAATTGTATTAAATATGGGGTTTAGTCCATTTTTATGGAGGGAAGCCAACAGTCATGCTTTGGGAAAACACGATGGCATTGCAAACTACATTTTTTTTCCCCTTAATTTTCTTTTCTCTTTCCTTTTCTTTCTTTTTCTTTTTCTTTTCCTTTTTCTTTTTCTTTTTTATTTATTTTTAAAATCTTTTATTTTTATCAGTATTATTGTTTTCCTTCTCAATGACATGTAAACTATGTAGAGCCATTCTAAGAATATAGATGGAGACGGGGGCGGGGGGGCAAATTGTATTATTTTTCTTCTCTTTTGTGTGTGTGTGTATATGTATAGACTCTTATGGTTTATGTATATATAATTTGCATGATATTTATTCCAAGGCCAGCTTTCGGAAACACAGTGCCAATTAAAGTAGATTAGTGTGATTAATTAGTGCCCTAATTTGCACACATGCACACACACACACACAAGTGACACTTATATATATATATATTGCTGATGTAAATTAATGTATTCTATTATCCAAACTATGGCTTGTTGAACATCTAAATATGAGTAAAGTAGATTATTAGAAACTATACTAGACAATTAAGCCATGGTACCACACTTGCCAAAAAAAAAAAGGTGGCCAGGATAACATACAAGGCTAATAAGTCAGAAGGCTGTGTATACCTTATATAGTGTCAGTATAGGTTGGCAAATGATATCAAGTACTAAAATGTTGTAACAAGTATTACAATAATAATTAACAATTCTTTTTTTTTTTTTTTTTTTTTTTTAAATATATTTGAAGTTTTTAAAAGTAAGTTTAAAATATTCATTTGACTTGGAGGAGTCACAAGTAATTTCCTTTGCAAACCGCCTCTTATTATCATAGATGGGTAACAAAATAAGAATTTGTAAAAAAATATTGGGGAAGGCTAGCTTTAATTTTCCTATACAAATCACCATTAATAGAGGTTTGAGAAATTTTTGCAACCCCCCCATGGAGACATGATTACTGTGAAGGGCGACATGGGAATGACTGCAGAATTTTATTTGATCAAACAATAGTCAAATCATTTTATGATTAAGTTTCTGGGTTGTTTTTTTATTTATAAAAAAAAAAAGTTTCTGGGTTTTTTTTTTTTTTTTTGCATTTATTTGCTACTGAGGACATGTAGGAATCAGTTGCTTTGATTTGGTTTTTATTTGAAATTATTAGACGATAGCTAGTTAGTTTTTTTAGTATTTGGAGGTTGAAGACATTGTTCAAACTTTTAGGAAGACTTGAAGCCATGTTTGGTTATGGCCCCCACCAAGCTTTATTAGTATACCTATCGATATGCATATAATTTTGAAGCATTTTTCCCCAATGTGGTCAGAATATGTCCATTATATGATGGCTTTCCTATCTTATGATCAGATTAAGTGGAAGTAGAACTACAAGGTGCATTCTGCAGGCACATGTTGTTTGTTTTTAAAAATCGTTGAATGTCTTGTAGATCAATTATTTGAGTGGTGCAAAAGAATGACAAAAGGAGCAATACCGTATGTGTGCATTTAGTGATGTGTGGAACAATTTATTTATTTATTATTATTTTTAATGGTGGGGTTTTGGGAATTCTATTTGGTAATAGTCTCGGTAAATTTTGTTATTACTAGCATTTAACTTAACTAAGAACGTCACTAGAACAATCAGAAAAGAATCATGTTAGATACCGTCAAATGCTATGTATGGAAATATGGGCATTTTTAGTTGAACACTGGCATGATTTATTTTGTTTTGACTGAAGGAGTGAGACATGGGCATTTGAAAGGATTTTGTTGAACCATGGCATGCTTCCTATTGTTTGATGAAATGAGTGTTTTAATATGATTGTGATTTTGTTTTCTGCTATTTAGTAGAATATTTATTGGTATGCAGGTTGACTGAATCTACGGCCTTAGTAGGATTCATGTAGCCGACCCCAAGTAATTGGGAAAAGGCTTGGTTGTTGTTGATGTATTTATTTGTATGCAGGATGCCATGATTTTGTGGAATCCAATATTTAAATGTTATACAGGATTGGAAAAATGTATTTTTTTAAGATCATCAAGACAATTGTATGTGGGATGCGCATTAGGATTGGCTAACCCCAAAACTGACCTGATCTGACCACTATGGCTTGGTTCGGTTTTCTTTGGATGTTTGGATCCATTTTGATTATTAAAAAGTGAAGGGATAAAAGTGAAGAATTAATGAGGGCAGTCCGGTTTTGTGTTAGGTGGTCAGGTTACCCAAGCCAACTTGAGAACCAACCTTGTACATATATTCGTAAATGTATGGAATGAGTGCCCATGTATTTCAATGTTATTTTTTGATTGATATATGTCATTATGGCAAGTGTTCTCATACCTTTGGTCTCACACTTATATACACAAGGAGACAAAAGGCCGTCACTGTTAGAAGTGATTGTTTTGGTTCTTGACATGGTTGGTTATGTTCTTTTCTTCTTGAAGAGTTGCTTCCACTGCAGATATTGTTATTGTATTGGGTTTTCCTTTTCTGCATTTTATTATTTTCCTGTTATGCAGACTTCTTTTTGGTTTGTGTTTCACTATCTCTCTTAAATTCTTCGATGGACTCTTTTGGTTAAAAAACAAAAATAAAAAGGATGGAAATTATATTCCTAGTGATGATGAACTTAAATTTATCATGTAAATTCCTTTTTGCTGTTTGATGCTCTAAATTATCCTTATTGGTTCTAAAGAGTATGGCATTCTTACTGCATAATGTAACAGTTCTAGAATTTTTTTTTCCTTGTTAAACTTGCAGGAGGGGCTTCAAAGCATATTGAACAAATTTAGTATTCACTCTGTGGTAAATCAATTCTTTCCTTTCCGGGTGTCTGATTTTATAAATTATGTTAGGCTTATTTATAGCAGCATGCGACAAAATGATTATTTTCATGTATCATGTTCCAAATTTAGATATGCATATATCATCTGTGTGCATAACCTTTGAATACTGCTTTAGGACAGTTTATGGTGCATTAATGATACATATTAATTGTAATTGTTATATGAGTGCATATTTTCTGTGCGCGTAACCTTCGAATACTGCTTTAGGACAATTTATGGTTAATGATGCATCATAACTGTTATATATTACTCATCAAGGAAAATGTTAGATAAGATTTTCGAAGTATTTGAAGTCAGCCTAGTTAATCTGTGGAACCATCCTTACATCTAAAGCACAAGGAGATTCCTATAACAAAGAAAAAATGGTATTATTGTTTGATATTAAGTATGCAATGTAACCGTAGATGCATGCTATATGATAACATATAGCAAATGTGACACATGCCACATAGCAACTTGATTGTATTTGGAAACTGGAAGAAGCATTTTTTTTTTGTTTGAAGAAAAGCAAGCTATAACATTTAGTTATGGAGTTCTTTTGTTTTTATTTATGTTTCATTTGTGGAATATTTGATCACATACTGTAATATTCTGGTCACTTTACTGGAGCACTTGCACAGTGTTGTTGTTCTTGCTAATGTAACAGTCTCATTCTAACCTAGCAGTCATTTTTAGGGCATTTTTCCCTTTCATTATTCATAGTTTGGAGGGCCCATATTAAATATGGTTTATGGATGGGATTTAATGTAATTACGGTTAGTAATGAACTTTGATAAATACTCATAGCCTTCTAGCAAAGGTCGGTTGTGTGACTTGTTCAATTAAAAATTTTGTTCTTTCCTTTTGGAATGATTGGTTTGAGGCTTTCTTGAATGAAAGATTGCTCCTTGAAATGGTGCTTTTTTATTTTTATTTTTTATTATTTTTCTTGTTTTTAGTTTTTATTTCACAGTCTTTGCATTAGTTGTCATAGAATGTTCTGGTTGGATTTGTCATTTTATGCTGCATCAAATACGAAGAGGAGGAGTTGTGTGTGAGAGAGCAGGCACTGAAGTGCTAGCCCCTAACCAACAAGGAGGAGGAGAATTATGAAGGTAAGTTAAAGTCTTAACAGCTTACTCGATTTGAAACTCCATCTCATGATAATGGTGATGGGATATTTAACAACTAAATATTACGATCGTGCTCAGTGTAGAGAGCCTCATAAGTAGGAATATCTAAGATGGTCCACAACTTTGCTTCAGAAGAGTTGTCAAAATTTGGAGAAGTTCAAGCAACAATTGGAGTAGCTAGACTGAAAACTCGACAAATTTATGAATAAAAGTATTGTGAAAGTTTTGCATGGAAATTTTGGAATGCGATCACAGTCTTGAAGATATAGGTTTGGAAAGCTTGAGGAAATTCTTTCATGATGTTTGATTCAGTTTTCGATTCAAAGTTAATGTTGAGTGAAAAGGATTTTTGGACTACTTTATTAGTGTAGAAGATTTGTGTGAAGTACAAGCCAAAGTTAAAAACTTAAAATAGCTAATTTTTAAGGACAGGCATATGTGGAAGATCACTTGGATTGGGATTCACCACCGATATTGGATGACCATCCTGAACATGTTGATGCCTTTGACCTGATAGTTTGGGAACCCCACTAACATTTGATGAATATCCAAGAGAACAGATTTAACCATTATTCATTATCTTATGATGTAATATCGACATTCCCTTGGTTTACTAGGTACTAGATTGTGATGTGCTCAGTAGATACAAAGGGAGAAGTATCCCTAGGGGGTGGATTTGGCGGATACAAAGGGAGAAATGTCCCAGGGGGGTGGAATCATTGGTCAAGAACTAAGCAGAGGTATTGGGTTCTATTTTCATCTTGAGACCATCCTAATAAGGGTTTTTCTTGTGTGGCATTGAGGTTGTGTCTAAAGGGGAATAGTCCCACATGAAAGGTGGGGACCTCTCTAGTAAAAGAAAAAAAGGAGGGATTGAAATTTGATTGTATTAGGGAATATTTCATGGCTTGTCAATCAATTCTGTAAGAAATCAATTGTGCATGGATAGAGTAAAGGGTATATTCTCAAACTTGTGATAGTAATTAAGTTGTGTCCCACAATAATTTGCTTTTATGCTCAATTGAACGAAAACAAGTTACAAAGACATTCTTTGTGCAAGAATTCTCATGAGAGAATTAAGGCTAATGTCCACTGCTTTTGTCATGTAATCTGATGATGACCGGAAAGATGAGAGGACTATTTGGGCATCATCTAGTATAATAGTGGAAAAAAATAAAAGTGGAATTGAAGACGAATTTTTATCCACCTGGGGAATGGCAAGCCGTGTGGCTCTTAATTTATGGAGAACTTCATATTGTAAGTAGGGATCAAAGGAGCAAACTTTGATATTTTGTTTCTGGAGTTTTATTTTATTTAAGTTTATGCGAGTTTTGGTGAACAAGTTGATGTCCCTTGAATGGTAGAATTATTGAGTGACATTTTAAGTAGTTTATTTTCTTTTTGGAATTCTTGAATTATTGCATGTGTTCTTTGGGTATTATAGTTTTTAATGAGAAAAACTGGAAACTTGTAGTTTACTGTTCACCTTGCAATGGGAGGTGAAAGTGTGTTGAATATGTTGCACTGGGTTGATAAAAGATGATGGTTGATTGGGAAAAAGTGGAGGGGGAGAGTGTTCTTGCCGGCATTAATTGGGGTTTTCCTCTCTCTCTCTCTCTCTCTCTCTCTCTCTCTCTCTCTCTCTCTCTCTCATGTACATATCTGCTGGTAAAAAGGTCTTGTTGTGCTTTTCGTTCCCTTTTTTACTCAGTTATACTTAGGTCGTCGAGATTGATACTCAAAGGGTAACAATGTATGAAGATTGGCGATAAAAATAATAATCAATCGTGAAGTAAAAGTTAGAATCTGATAAGATGGACAGTGATGCCATTCAAGGACTTGTTACCCTCAATGATTATAAACAACCTTACCTTTTTCTCTTTAGGTAGCCCCAATGCCCCTTTACGGGCCCTTATAACGCACGCAATCCCTATAGTGGGGTCCGACCGAGCCGTCAACATTGAAAAAGGTTAAGAGACCGATCCAGCAGCAAAGGCCAGAGACGGTTTCAAAACCTCTCTCGTAAAGTCAAATAGCGAAGAACCTGACGACGCGCGGCTTTTCTAAACGAGTGGTAGCAAATTGTGTTGCATGTGTAAGGATGCAGTGCAGGTTGTTGGTCACCTCCCATTTCAGTGTCATTTCTATAGGCCTTTCGATTATGATTCCTTGTTTGTTTGGGGTTCATTGGGTTATGCTGATGTCAATTGGGAGATCTTCAGTTGTTGGCATGGAGTCTGCCAATAGAAGAGGGAGACAAACTCCCTGGGAGGCAGTTTCTCTTTGCCTTATGCGGCGTGTCTTGAGGGCGAGGAACAGACATATATCTGAGGAGGTTGTAATGTGGATATCATATTTGGAACAAATGATGTGAAGCACGTTGCACTGGAGAGTAAGCCTTCGAAAAACTAAGTTTTAACCTGCAAGAATGTCGTGGATATACCGGTTCTATAGTATTGGATTGTTGAAGTGGGCACTCTCTACTACTAGTATAAGACTGTGTCAAGAGCTGCCCCACGCTGGGCAGATAGTCTGTGCTTTGCGCTACACGAGGGCCAACTGTTTTTGAAGACCCATCTACACAGGTAGGAGGGATCCTTCCTTTTAAGTGCCAGCAACTTCTCTTCTCTAGGTGATGTGGGACGTCATAGTCACTCCCGCTTGGGACCCAACGTTATCACTGGCCTGACCCACATGGGCTTGTGCATGCTCTCTCAATATTTCGACTCGGGATTGGCTCTGATACTCTCTGTTAGGACCTGTCCTGTACTGTGCTGTTACGTCCCGCTTTGTGTTATACGATTCCTTATGGTTTTTCAAGACGCCTCTACATATGTAGGAGGCATCCCCCCTTATAACTGCTGACAACTTTTCCCCCTAGGCAATGTGGGATGTGACAGACTGCCTTAGTAGCAAAGTTTGAAGTGGTACACTTTGAGATCCAACTTCGGGATGTCATAGAGAAGGTTAACATTATGGAATGTCAATATCTATCAAAATAAACCTTCCTCTATTGGAAGTACTTTGGCTAGTCTTCGTTCTTTATGTTCCATTTGTCATTTGATATTTGATAATACAAAGATTGGAAAAGGTAATGAAGGATGTCTTATGGAAGGTATTAGGGAGGATTCAAAGAGGGTGTCAGCATCCGAAGGAGGAAATTAGACATTTCGATACATGGTTCTATGAAATTAGACATTGCATTGAACATGGATTTGGGATTTGGGTTAGATTGTCTGAGAGATGCAGTTCATGGAGTTGGGTTCTGCAATGGAAATATGGGTGTGGGAGAGGGGAGTTGTTTTCGGAAAGGCATTCAAACGATTGGGGGTAGGTGTTTCGAAGAGCACCATGCATTGATTAGAAGATATTTGAAAAAGTTTTTTGCTAGCATTCTTAGGTCTCAGATTTCTTTTTATCATGATGTATGTTGGAGGGAGTTGCCTTCGAAACATGTATTTCTAGAAAATGGAAACTTTAGCTATGGATATGTTTAATTGGTGGGTAGCTCATTCAATAGATTCCTTTGTTTGGAGAAGGTTGTGATAGGAGTTATGAGGAAGCGGTTGGCTGACAGTTGTGAGAAATCGAGGATTAAATGATTTTGAAGAATGACAGAGTAAGAACTAAGAATGAGACAGAAGGAGTGGATCATCTTCTAACAACTGCTATTTGTTTGAGGAACTGTGGCCCTTTATTACCCCTTTATTTGAGAGGTTGGATTTTACTAGCTTCAGTTTTTTTTATTAATTTTTTGTATGGCATGTGGTGCGTTTCATAGTGGAACACTTTGGAGTTTAATGTCTGCTTCTCAATGCATTAATTTGGAGTGAGCAGAAATGCAGTCTAATGAACTTTCTAAGATAAACAGCTCTTGCCTACAAGGACCAGGGGAGAGTTGTCATTTGCTACTATGGCCATGTATTATTGAATAGACTACCCCCATCAAACTAAATTTACTAATTTTATGGCTTGCCTTTATGCATGCATACGTATCTTTACACACAGAATTCTATGATTGATGCTTTTGTTACTGCATTAGTTTATTGACTGGTTAGATTATTTATAATTAATCTTTATGATGCTGAGATCAATATTTTGCTGCAGCCTACACTCCACTTTTTCCATGATGGGAAAAAGGCTGATGAAGTAATCGGTGCTGATGTTGAACTCTTGAGACAGAAGATGAAAGAACTCTACCATGAGGATTACGAGTAATCCTCATCCTTGCATGTATGCCTGCAAAATTAGTAATTACAGCACATCCATGGGTTCTTTCTTCAAACGAAGACCATTATATAGAATCAGGTTTTCAATTAGGTTATCATGGATCTGGTATAAATCCAAGCCCTTTCTAAATCCAACCCTTCTTTGTTAGTTCTACAACCGCTAATATATTTGTTTTGATTTCTTTCCTTTCTATACTTTGGGATACATATTTATGGATTTTTTTTGTTTAGTGGTACATTGCACAAAGATTGTGCATCTCTCATATGAAGGCATTGTGGTGATGAGATTCCGATGGTTGCTTGCCTTCATATTGAATACTAAATTGTGTGCTTGTGAGGATCTTGTATTTTTAACACAATAGAGTTAAAGAATTAATATCCTTGAAACCATGTACAGATGGACCTTATCCTAATTATCAAACACAATCAAAATCACTTCATTTGGATCATTGAATATCCCATGTGGCATCCGAATGCTCTTTGTAAGGAATTGGGGAAAGCATAAACGCTCCATACAATTTGTGAGAAATCAGTGAAACCAGTTAGCAGTTAGGTTGGGGGTGCAGGTGGCTGCTGTAGGTTTCCGTGTTCTATTTATTTTGACGTATTTTCTTGGAAATGTAATAGGTTTGATCGATTGGGATTTGTTTTGTGGAAGCCATCTCTCCTTATATGGAGGGTATAAGTTACAGAAGAACAGTACAACATTCAGTGTCAAGGTGGTTTGTCAAAATTTTCATATCTTCTGTGGCCCTTTTTCAGTTTCTTAAGCCGAGTTTGTCACAGAATGAAGTAGGTTGCATATATCATGATAGTCGTCTTTCTTTAAAACTAATACGGTTGATATCTTCTTGTTTTGGTCATGTTGATTATCAACTCTCTCCCTCTCTCTCCCTACAACTTTGTCCAGACAACCTGTACAAGCTATTCTGCAACAATCATCTTAAAATCCTCATTGACAAGGTGTCCTCTAAAATGCAACATGGAAAGCAAGCTTCATTTGCTTTGGCCTTTTCAATAGAGGGGTCAGGTTTTGCAGGATCAAAATTTGCCGACTAATCGAATTCCATCTTCAACTTCTTTGATACACACCTTTTATCCTACAATGTTGTGAGCTCTACTTTTGTATCTCTCCCCTCTTCTCTGAACCAGTCTTCTTTATTAAATTCCTAAACTGAAGAAAAAGAGATGGCATTCTGTGCCAAACACAATCTTTGCTTTTCCTCCATCTTTTGTGATCTTTCCTTGGTTAAGCTACCAAATCTAACAAAACTAATTTCTATTACAAGAATTTGAGAATATACCAACCCTGGTACGGATAGCGTCTTTCCAAACATATCCCTTCAATCATCTATGAGTTTTCTTATAAGAAAAATCATTTAGAGTCCAACAGTCGACTGTTTTGTTCTGAGTGTGAGCTGTTGTAATTGATTGTTGATGTCATAATAACGTCAACCGTCACTCACACCAAATTGTTTAAACCGTAAGACTTCCTATTATAACTTATCTGATATCTGAGGAGTTCGGGAGGAGCAAATTAAGTGCAAATCAAGTACAAACGTAACACTTTTCAAATTATTTTTTACAAGGTGGTTTCCTCTAAAATCTAATACAGTATTTATTTTTATATTTAGTAGCTTGGATTTGTACAGGGCTGTAAAACATAATCTTTCATCTGAGAGTTGGGATCCCTCTCACATGCGAGTGGGATCGGTACAGCATCCCATCACTCACACTGTACTGCAGAGATCCGTGCTCTTCATCTGAAACTTGAATTGAAATAAGTTACGATTCATATAAATTACTTTTTCCTTGAAGACCTAAGGTATAATTTTTTGCTAATAAGTTGCGGAAAGAAATGGAAGCATTAAGTGTTGCAATAAGATGTGCCTTGGTATAGCTACAACAGATTTCCTATTTCTTTACCTTCTTTGTCCAAGGATCGTTTTGTAACATCCAAGAGAAACAGGAGATGAATAAAATAGAGAATTTTTAAGGAAAGAAAGACATAAAAGAAAAGGCAAAAAAAAATGGAGTTTAAGAGTTCGAGTCTTGTAAGGAAAAAAAAATATAGGCGGTGAATATAGCGTTTGTTTCAACGTTCAAAAAAAATAATAAATAAATAAAAGAGGAAGGAAGATAGAAAATTGATTTTCAAATGGTATCATACTTCAGTTGAAGTCTTGTACAAAGAAAAATTTAACAAGTTTAATACTGCATAGTTGCTACACACGCACACACAGAAGGCACACACCCTTGACAGAAAATATAAAAGTAAAAGGAAAAAGGAAATAATTTAAGAAATACAGTGGGTTTAAACCAAAGCTTTACTTGGGGGAGGGGGAACAGAAACTGTGTTTTTGTTGTAAAGTATTTTTTCTAAAAAATTTGAAAATACGTTTAGGAACAATGTTTTATTATGCAAATGTCGGAAACAGAAACATGCAAAATATGGTTCTGGGCCACGAACAGTTATCAAAATAAGAAAAAATATTTTTTTGATATTTTAGCCGATTTTGAACCACTGTTCATAAAATGTTTTAACACTACGTAAAATAAAATAACACTATACCAAACATAATTTTACTATCAAAATTGATACTGCAATAACTCAAAAATAAAAACAGTACAAATAAAAGGCATGGCAAACATGACTCAGTTGGGTTGAGGCAAATATCTTGTGGGTATTCCAAGGGAGTCATTTAATGCTCTCACTGTCCATCAGCTGATCAAGGAAGGAACCAAAGCAGACATGCCAAATTTGCCCCAATGACCTTTTCTGTTATTGAAAGGATGTACGGTGCTTCACATGGAGAGAGAGAGAGAGAGAGAGAGAGTTGTAGAAGTAAAAAAGATACCCACCCTACACAAACCTCTTGAAGAGAAGTAGAGTTATAGGGTCAAAGATTGGATAGGAACAATGGTCAAAGAAACTGGACAATGATAGGTTTGGAATATATGGTGTTTAGTCCATTCACACCCTTCACCTCTCTCTAGACTACATAGAGAGAGAGAGAGAGAGTGACAAAGATTTCCCATCTGTTTCAGATGCATTGTAAATAACTCATCATCTCAGGAGATAAAACAAAAAAACCTGGTGTACCAAACTGACATTTCTCTCTCCCTCTCTACTTTATTACCATCATGTCCATCTATGTTGTTGGTTGAGAGGAGGGATGGCAGTGTACTGTCCCAAGAAAGTTAAATCAATGTGGGATTGTTGATAACAAATTGATTCAAGGAATAGGAGGTTCATGTTAACTGGCTTGTTTGTGTGGTGTGGAGTGTGGTGTGTGGATAAGAAGAGCAAAGGCCATTCCTTGTGTTCCCACTTTCAACATTTGGTACCCTACACTGCATACACAATTCAGTTTTACATGAGGAGAGCTTTTTCTAAACTTTTTGTACAAAAAGTACCTACTTTGTGAATATTAATAATATACATTATTAGGGTTTTGATCCATTAGTACATTTTAATTCACCATAAGTAATTACGGAAGTGGATTTTCTCGTGTCCTCCGCACCATCCGGTGCATCAAAACAACATAGTTTTGATAAACTTTAAAAAAAAAAAATCTCCTTTGAACTTTCGGATTGAACTTTCGAGTAACCATAGTCGGTAATTACCTATCATCACAATTTTAGTTAACTATATCCTTTTTTTGACTACTTTTTGGTCATCATGTCCTTTGATATTATAGGATTTGTTGTTTGGTGTGAATTGCCGTGCACCAAAACGGCCAAGACAGGTTGCACGGAGTCTCAACATGGAGCTCACAACACTGTGTGTCAAAATGACTTCGTTTGGTGCGCAAGACCCTCCAAACATGAGGTCATGATCCAAAACGTTCAAAACAGATTGCACGGCACTCTGTGCCTCTGTATCAAAATGACTTCGTTTGGTGCATAAGACCCTCCAAACATGAGGCGATCCAAAGGTCAAAACTCAACATGGAGCTCACTGCACTCTATGACACCGTGCCAAAATGACTTCGTTTGGTGCACAAGACCCTCCAAACATGAGGTGATCCACTTCCTTGATTAGTGAGTACCAAATTGACGTATCCAGTGGACCATTCCATAGGTCAGAAGGAAATCCACTGCGCGTAGCTTTGGTGCGAGCACAAAATTCCCTATGAACAAGAGGGGTTCCGGGTTCAACCAACCATAATTATAATCTACCATTATCATAATTTCACAAAATTCTTCATACACACTGGCTTTTTAGTCATCAACATAGTCCATTGATATTCCATGCTAGTTTGGTTATAAAGGTAACTTCAATGTCCCTCTACAAAGTTGCCTCCCAAAGCTTCAAACAGTCAAGAGGACTCATAGACTCATATCAAGCCGCCATAACGAGAGAGAGAGAGAGAGAGAGATGTTTGCCAGCTGCTAGTTGCATAAAGGCTGACAAGAGGACAGGGATTGATGAGGTGTGATGACTACTAGTAATATTCAGATGAGACTATGCTCTCTCTACCCTGTGACACCCACATAAATGCACACACAAACAATCATATATGTGTATATATACACACACATATGTCTCCCAAGTCCCACATAATGTATATAATGTATATGTATATGTCTCCCAGGTCCCAACTGGTCCCAACTTGATCAGATTCTGCAGGTTTAATGGGTGTGCTAGCTTTTAGTGCTCTAGCCAACACATCACTCATTGGTAAGTTGAACCTACTGTGAATTTACCAGACCCCCTGAACCAAACAACTCTTTTTCTAGAAAATTTTGTCTATGCACACACAGCTATATACCCAACAAATTGTTTTGCCAAAACAGTTTCCTAAATTAAATGCCATATATATATATATATTTTCTAGTGCCCCTTAATTTGGAAGGTCCCTAATGGTTTGCATTGTTAATGTGCAATTCAAATAGTCAGAGCAGTGTTATCTGATTAGGTTCCCAAGTGTGTATGAAAGAAAAACTTTGAGTTGATTTGTTTTGGTTACTGGTCCTAGTTGGAATGCATAACCTAACCCTTAGCAATTTGATGTTTCACAAGCTACAAGAGAGGAAAGAAGCCTTATCAACTTAGATATTTCACATGCTACAAGAGAGGAATATGGTTAACCGACACTCTTGACGTCGGGTTTTGTAAGAATCAAGATCCTCTTCACTACACCATGCAATACACAATATTAAGAATGCAACACAATAAGCGATTATGTAACACATTTACATTGTTAATGTAATGTTATAACACCATGAAATTGAGAATTATTACACACTTTTATCATTATGGCATCTTCAATTTAATGGTGTTACATTCTCAATTTATTTGAATATAAAAATCCACTCTACAAATGTGCGGTAAAAACATATGGCTTTTGTTTTGCTAACCGGACGTTTGTTGTAAGCCTGCTTAATTAAGAATTTTCTTCTAGAAAAGCAAGTTGAAGCTTACTTCCTCGTAAATTTAGGGCGCTACTATCAAAAAGTTGCAAAATACCCTTCCTCTACTATTTTTTTTTTAAACAATAAATACCCTTAATTTATCAAAAGTTTCAAATTACCCCCTTCTTGCAACTGAATGTTGGAATTTCCGTGTTAAAGTGGTAATGTGCAACGCATGTGATACATAGACTAGTTGTTTAGACAAAAATACCCTTAGGCATGTTCATTCTAATATTTACAATTGATTTTACAAGTCAAAGTTATTGGTGTTAGTTTATGTGTTCCAACATTGGTTGTAAGTGGGGATAATTTAAAATTTTTGGTAAATTAAGAGTGTGTTTAAATAAATAAATAAAAAAAAAAATAGTAAAGATAAGTAGTTTGCAATTTTTTTTTTTCAACTATAGTACAACGGGATTAGTGCAATTTAGCCTCTCATATTCCATCTGTTTCAAAAAAAAAAAAAAAAAAATTTAGGAATGGTAACTCACAAAAGGATATAATTTTTTTTTGGAATAGAGGACTAGTTTAGAAATCATTTTGTACCATGATTTGCATATATGTGTGTGTGTGTGTGTGTGTACATATTTAATGATGAAATGTGAATAGATTATGTTGTTGTTGCCAATTGCATGAGCAATGTAAGAGAGCCAGAACAAGAGGGAAAGGACATCACAAATTGGGGTCCTCAAAGCAATAATGCTCAAGGCGAAAGTGATTCGAGGGTACAACATATAGGACCCATTTTAATGTCAATTATAGGAACCTTTCTGGGTAGGTTTGACTGTAAATTTTAGTGATTGGATTGAGAGAGACAAAACATATCATGCGAGTACTGTGTTGCTTCCCACAGTGCAATCAAATCCACCATTATGAAACCCTAGCGCGCTCTCTCTCTCTATCTTTTCCCTCACCAACATTTCTCAGTCTTGCCTAACCTGATTACTGACCATGATGAATACTGTGATATATAGAAATATATATGGGCCAACTTTAGATTCTTTTGGTATGGTCTCTCAGTTCAAGGTCTCAATGAGTGAGTGAGATGCTTTCAAGACTTATCTCATTACATCCAAGTAATTTTCTCAATGCTTCTCATGATGTTTGAGCAAATTACATACGGGTAGATCATTTAACATTTATTACTTTAAATTGTCAAGACAGTTGGTTTGATTCGATTTTTTAGTGATCCGTTTCAACTCTAGTTTGAAAAAATGAAACCATTTAAAAACGGTTTGGTTTTAGTTTGGAGTTCTACCTGACTAAACTGAACCATTATATTAATTATATGGTCAATTACACTTTCTTTTCCTAAAGTTTGGACAAATCACATGTGTGTAAATTGTTTAACATTTATTACTTTGACTTCTTTTAAATTTTAACACGTTTTTAAATTTTTGCATGTGTGATCAACGACACACTTAGAATTTTCTTTTCAGCAGACCAATTGACTAAATTTTAATAAATGACAATTTAGTCCATCCCATGTATGAAAGGACAATAAGATAAACTACGTGGAGGAGAAAGGAGGTTTGGACAAATTATACGTGCTAACTTTTAACTTTCAAAGTCGTCTTCCAATAAGTAGACTAATGAATAAAAAGAAGTCAAAATAACAAATGTTGAATGGGTCGAGCCACATAAAACATAGCCAGAGGGAGTGTTTGTACTGGACTTCGCGTGGGTGCATCAAATTGGTACTGTAGACATGAGACACTGGAGAGGATGGGTAAGGATCTGCATTGGGTACTTAAGAATTGACAAATTGGACAAGCCCTGTCATATCAGTGGCATTATTAGTTATGGGTTTAGAGTTTCAAAGTGAAAACGTTAAATTTTAAGAAGTCCAAATTCCAAAGAGAACCGAACCGACTGGCTCTGGGTCGGTATGTTGACCTGCAATTAACCAGTGATTCACGAGCCTTTATGCTGATTGGTTATGTATCAGACTCACCTTTTTCTAGGTGATGATGGTCTCATGACCCAAACCACTCATTGAAAACAACCCTAATCAAAAACGTGGATGACAACTAAATTTTAAATTTTATTGATGACATGATAGATTGATTTGCTAGATATTAAAGAAAAATCTATTCAATTGTCCATATTATCACAAAGATGAAAAAAAAAAAGAAGGTGTGTTGAATTCATCATTTCATACTCGCGCTTTTTAATCAATGTGACATAATAGTAGTATTGTTAATTATAAATTTTTGAAAATTAACATTAAACCACTCTTTCCTTAATTAAAACAGTAAAATCTCACGTGTTTGTATTTGTTTAGTTGTAAAATTTTACCATTAATATAAAATTAGCAATGATTAGCTAAAGAAGATTGGAGTTGCTTTTCAAAAGTAAAAAAGTGCATTTTCAACCATTAAAATGATGCAAATCTCACATCACATAAAGGTAACGTCATTTAACAACTCAATACAAACGGTCGTGCTTGCTCTATATCCTTTTTATGTTTTATGAAATATTTTAATCGATTCTATCCCGCGTACTCTCTCTAATTATGGGGTAACGTGGATTATGCCACTTTAATTTATTATGTATTCCGTAATAAAAAATTTAGTCAAATGTGATTAAATTAGACTAATAAATAAACTGACTCAACTTTTAAATTATTAAATAATAAATATTAATATATTAACTAATACTTAAAAAAAAAAGAGTATTAAAAAACATTAAAAATACATTTTATATATATATATATATAAATTTAAAAACATATATAATCGGGCGGGGCGGATTCATCACATAATGTATTCCAAACTATAGTTTGACAGAGTTTTTCCTCTCGAATATCTTTTATATTTTAAACCCTCCATCCCTATTTTCATTTGGTTAAATGGTTGTATGTTTCTAACTTTTTGTAAGTAAAATTTTTATTTTTTTACTTTTTTCATGAAAAACTTACTAACAGAATATATATATATAAAATAAAAAAGAAAATACTAGGATTAGTAGCATAGTTATGAAATTTTAAGGGGAATAATTATCAACAGGCTTGTAGCCCAGCAGTATCAGGTTCTTATTTCTCAAAGAAAAATTAAGAATTTGAGTCTAAGTGAAAATATGCGTAAATATGCGTGTATGGCTATCTCCTATAGAGGAAAAAAAGAAAAAGAAAAAGAAAAAGAAAAAGAAAAAGGGGGAACAATTGAATTTCATTAACAATGCAAAATCATAAACTCAACAGCTATGAAAATATGATTGAGAAATTTGTGAGCACATGCAGGGAATCTTATGACCAACTTGTCTCGATTAGAGTGGCAGCAGTCCTTAGAAAAAGGTCCCAAAAAATGGCATTGCTTTTCCTACTCTCTTTTCTTTTTTTGCCTAAAGCAATCTGCCTTTTTATTTGTTTGTTGTTTCACCAGTAACTATGTATATAATCACAGGTTTCAATATATATATATATATACACACACACATATATATAGGTTTATGGGTGTTTGCCACGTGTCAGTACCCCCCTCATATAGAGACATGCATGGACACAGTTGCCTAGGTTCTTATTAATAGCAATGGTAATAGAAGGCGAATAGAATGTGACAAACCCATGTGAACCCACCTGAGTTCTGCACAACTCTTATATAGCTCTGCTCCTTTGTTCACATGCATTGTCATTGACCACATAGTATCAATAAGCACGGAACACTATTTTTTATCTTATTTAAGGCTTTCCCTGTATCAATAGTCCCGTTATACGGATGAAATTTAAGTCGAAGATTTATCAATAGTCCCGTTATACGGATGAAATTTAAGTCGAAGATTTAGGTAACCAAAAAAATTCCAACTCATACTTGATATATTGAATCCAACTCTTTTGGTTACCGAAAATCCATCCTACTATCTATGTGTAAAACATTAACTGAAAACCAACTGTTATGTAAAAATTTGTCTTCGCAGGGCAGTTCTCTGGGCGAGAAGGTATTCATTTGACCCTGTGTGGTTTGAATGTGATTCATTGGTCGTTGTTCAAGCGGTTGATGATGTTGATCGGGCGCCTATTAAAATTCAAGCTCTTTCCTATGATATTCAAGTTGTGCTTTGGAGCTTTTCATCCTCAGGTCTTAGCCATGTCTATCGGACTGGTAACGAGGTTACGCATGCTCTTGCAAAGTTTTCTCGAAGTCATCTCACTCAGGATACTGCTCTTGTTCATATTCCCATTAGTATCCTTGTTTTAGCGGCTTCGGATTGTCTGTTTTAATCGGTGTTTTGTTTGTGTTTGCCAGGTTAAAAAAAAAAGGGGGTAAAAATTTGTGTAGGAGATATGCGACAAAGAGACCGACCAAAAGTCATCTAAACTAAAAAGAATTCATGTGGTGACTCCACCAACTTGTTTATGTGTATGTAACTATGTATATAATTATATATGTATTATACAAAAATAACATTATTTGGGAAAAAAAAGGGAGAGATGTATGAAACATAAACAAAAACACTTAGGAATATATTAAGATAGATGACCTTAATTATATGTGCAAGTTCCATTACATCCATACAAAATTGGTGGAGTAGAGCTTGTTACCTCCAATTCTCCTTACAACCACCTTGTTTGGTAATGGAACTATTTCTAAGACTCAATTCTTTAATTTAACAATTTTAAGTTTTTTGAGTTAAAAAAAGAAAAGAAATTAATGACACTAATACAAACAGAGACTGTGCCATTGCGTTACATGGAGATAAATATAGAGCTTAACTCAATACAACACTTAGGAATATATATATATATAACTACTATATAATAATAATAATAATAATCTCTTGTCCAAATTTTTCTCAAGAAAGTGGAGACCTTTGGGGAGCACCCTTTCTCCTGTTGCTTAGGGATAGAACAATCCCAGGGAGGAATCCACTTCCTTTCTTCTTCTTTTTCGCCACCTCGGGCTCACGTGAAATTCCAGAAATGCCCATGGAATTGCTGGAGCATGATGTGCCTTTGAATTGCAAAGGGTCCTCAAGGATGGAGTTTGGGGTAATTTGGCCGTCCGCGTCGAGCTCCGACCCGTCCATTCGTAGCTCCTCGAATTGAGAGAACGCGAAATCGGATTCGTTGAACCCGTATAGAATGCAGGATAAATCTTCCCCTTGACACACCATATGATCAATCTGCAATATTGTGTTGTTCTATTAATATGGATAATAATTCCATAACTAAGATTATAAAAAATGTCCAATGTGTGCATAAGTCCATGTTTGGTTGCAATTATACAAGAAGTGACCTATCAGTAAGAAAAAACTACAAAGAAGGCGTTCTCATTGTGAACTCGTACGAACCTGATGCATCAAATATGAAGTGCGCGCGCGTGTGAGAGAGAGAGAGAGAGGGGTGTTTGATTGCAGTTTTAGAAAAGGTAAGTTGATATTATGATCTACCATACTTTTCTAGCCTATGTTATGTACCATTTAACCTACAAATAAATGAGGAGGGAAAAAGAGGGAGGAAAGAAGTGAAATGGACCTTGCATGAAAGAGAACAGAAGTGAAATGGCTCCTGAAGAATCCTGTCACAAGTGAAGCAAATGTTGGCAGAGCCCTTACAAGACCTAGACTGTACCCTCTGATGCAAGAATATCACTTTTGCACTGTTTATGGTATAGGGCTGCCAAACAAGGAATAACATAATTATTATTATATATATATAAGTTATAATTGAATGTTACAGTCAAATTTGAATGTTACCTGAATATAGGAACAGTCAATGAGTTTCTCCAAATCATCCAATCTAACAACATCATGGTAAACATATCTTCTCACCTGTCACACCATGAGATCAAAACTTGAATTGGGTCAAAATTTGCGAAATTCATGCTAACAATTGGCCCACTCACTAATCATGATTCAATTGTCACCATCTGATTGAAATACCCATGTGAGGACTAGGATTAATTATGTTTATAAATGAAATAAGACCCTAAAAAAATTAGGTTAAAATTTAGGCAACTGTCTTAATTATATACATATATACTCATATAAGTTGAAAATGGAAATAAATATGAAATGGGCTAGTTTGAGAATTTAGAATAAATGTGAAATTGAGTGAATAGGTTTATGCATTAAAAAAAAAAAAAAATTAGGTGAAAAGTTAGGCAACTGCCCTTATATATATACTCCCAACCACATACAAATAAGTTGATAATGGAATTAAAAGAAAAACTTTGAAAATAATTAAAATATGAAATAGAATAAAAACAAAACAGAGTAGAGGTGAAGTTTGACAATTGGGTCAAACTTTCACTTTCTTTGAAAGCAACAGCTGAGAGCCTTTGCAGGGACAATGAATAGAAAAAAAAAATCTACTAAATATGGAAAAGAAATCAGAAAGTGGAATCAAAATCCAAAAGAAAAGATCATACACATTATTATTAGGAACACCATAATGAATAGAAACAACAAAATAACAAAAATATTAAACAATTTTATGAAAATAATTGAAAAAGTAAAAGCCTAGCATGTGTTTCCATTAAGAAACAGAGAAAATTCAGGGGAAATCTTAAATAATAAAGTCAAGAAGAAACCAGGAATATACTTAACAGAGAATAAAATCTAATACAACACCTACAAACATAAAAATTGTTAGAAATAATATATATATATATATATATTTGGTAAATTGTGAAAAGGAGCTTGAATTTATCCATTGAAGCCCTGCATGAAGGAATTTATTAAAAATAAAAAAATTGTAAGACAGACAGAATTTAAAAAAACCCTAACTCACCAAAAGAAAGTAGTTATTTGGAAGAACCAGAAGCAACAAAAGTTCATAGCAAATTGACAAAGCTAAAATTCACTTGAGATTGGAGAATTTTATAGAAAATAGTTAAATTTCCAAATTATTAGACCAAATTGAATACGACCTAAATAATTCAGAGAAGTGTTGAAATCTTACCAAATTATTCAAAATTAAAACACAATTTTAATTGCACACTACATAACTAAGCATTAGCTCACCAGGGACTGAACAAAAAGTATCAAAAACTATCTAATAGTATAGAACTAAAAAGCAAGTCAAAAGAATTTGTATAACAAAGATATAAAACCCAAAAATTCTAGATACCCAGTACTGAATTAGTGAAAAATATACAAAGAGAAGATGGTTTGCATGTATATATGAATTATATATATATATATATATATGTATGTGAATGATATATGATATACCTGAAGCAGGGGATGAGAGCGATGAGAAGGAAGGCAGTGAGGGCAAAAGCTCTGACAACACTCCAAGCAGAAGATGTTCTTCTCGTTCTTCCTTCGGTTTTCGTGGACCCCACATGCAGCAAAGAATGTTTCAGCCATTAGACCATCTAGCCATGCAGGCTTCATTTCCACCATTTCATCTCTATCTCTCATAATTCCTCACTTTCTCTCTCTATATCTATCCCAAACTATTACTCACTCAGTACTCCTCTAGTAGTAGTAGTAGAATTTAAACACTGGTGGTCTCTGGTACACACACAAATATATAAAGAGCTTCACATGTTTTGCTTAAACAAAAAGACCCTCCCCTATTTATAGCAGGAGGTTCCAGAATCACTGTCTTTTTTCTCAATTTTTAGAGTAAAACCACAACATATAAAATACCCACATATATATAGATTTATGTCTATTAATTATATACAATTATATATATATATATATATATATATAGATATGGAGAGAGAGAATATATAGAGAGATAAAGAGAGTGGTGCTGCCTGCTGGACGCTTGGGTGTGGTGCGGACTGCGGAGTGGTGTATGGCGGGAAGACAGCCCACCAATCTGTACTTTTTCCTGCAATTTTACAAAAGCCTTTTAACAGTGTTCTGGGCACCCCCACTTTTTCACATTTCGTTCACTCCAAATTTTTCATCGGACCAATTTACCCCTGATGTACATTATAGATTCATCTAGTCACTGGAGATATTAGTCTTCTTACTAGGGGTGCCCAGATTTTTGTTTTTTTATGGACGAAAATTTAAAATTTACAGTAATATTTAACTTTGTAATATTTTGGGGAGGTTTGTCTCTTTCAGACAGAGTAGTGAGTCATCAGCAGCCCAACCTCGGTATCAAAGCTAGTGAAATGACGAGAATATCCTTTGCTTATTTAATATTCTTATTTTTGGGTAAATAAATGTCCTTTATTTTTATTTATTTATATATTTGGTGCTTATTTTATTTTCTTAAATTCATTGAACGACTAAAAACCATTTATATATGCATTGAATGACTCGAAACACCGAATTGTAGTCTGCTGTCGTTTTGATTTTTGAGAAGTGTGTAATAATAAAAAATGACTGAAATGGAATTAGTCCTATCAGTTTAAACAAAATGTAATGCTACTCTGTGATAAATTAGAGATTTTTGTTTTTATTACCAAAATAATAATAATAATTAATGGATTTATATTTTCTAAATGTCAAATAAAAAATATCGCAGTTCTTCAGCTACCAAAATCCTAATTGTCTTTGTTCTCATCTTCACTTTCATGTCTATCTGTTTGTGTGCGATAGATAAATTTGATAATAATGAAATTTATTTAATTCATTTATTTATAATTAACTTTGTGTACAGGCTCAGCCCTAATTAATCGAATGACGCACAAAAAATTTTGAATAAATTATATCAAAGAAATTATTTGTACCTAACAAATACCAATTATGCCTGACGGTACTTTTGCAATGAATATTATAAAGAATTAATTGAAAAATCGGATAAGAGAAAAATGGTGGAAGAATGATATTTTGACTTTATTTATTATTGAGAAAGATATATTGGCATAAATAATAAAATTATCATGCAATGCTTTCAAAATATGAAAACTGGTCAACAAAATTTTAATAATTGTGAGTATTCAATAAAAAAATCAATTTAATGTTCATGTTCTTTTATTTATTACTATAGTTTTAATTTTCTTTTATTCTCATTATTGTTTAAGGCGACCACCCCCTCGTGTGTGGTTCTCTCACCGCTTAAAATAACTTGGTAACATAGTTCGTAATCGTAATGTAACGAATTTTAGTAAATATCAGTGTAAATTGATCGATTCAAGAAAGTGTGTAACGACATCAAACCTTTAAAAAAAAATTACAAATCGAACGATACGATAAACCATGTTCACTAAATATCAACAACCAAATTCACATTCCCGGTGTAAGAACCCCTCTTCAGAGATTAGTACCTTCTCCCCAGGTTTGTGGGTTCAATCCCAGTTGTACCAATACTCTCTGATCCAGTACTTTGTAATATTTTTTTCACCATTTTATTCTTTTTTTCACCCTTCTGCAATTCTTTCTTCCTAACACGGTTAAAAGAAAGCGTGGGATAAACTTTGACTGATTTGTGTGATCTACAATAAATTAATTTAAGTACGAAATTTTAATTATATAATGTTCATATAATTACTTTTCAGACGATTAGATTTGCACATTAATATTTATATATGATCGTAACAAAAAGATAAAGAGCTCGGAAGAAATGGCATAGATAAAATTGAATCAAATGATTGTAAGTAATGTCTTTTTTGCAAATTTAAAATATTGATATGTACGTAAATTTTTATTATCAAAACAGATAATTAATTTTTAAAGAGGCAAAGTAAGTGTGCGTTCTTTTTTTTTTAAAAAAAAAAATATATATAATAAATTAATTATTTGCGAGTTAGGGACAGAATTATTATGGCCACATCATCAGCCCATTCCCTCTGATTTTATTTATTTATTTATATTACATATTTATAATTTTGCTGAAATTTTAATAATACTCCCACCAATTTTTTATTTATAAAACTCCTCCATATATACCAGCAGTAACTATATTTTTGGATCATCTTCATACTTTCTCTCTCTAAGAAATATATATATATATATATATGCGCGCGCGCGCGCAGTTCTTCAGTTACCAAGAATCTTAGTTGTCTTTGTTCTCATCTTATCATGTTTGTGTGTCAAAGATAAATTTGATAGTAATGAAATATTGAAATTCATTTCAATTTTTTTTATAATTAATCTGGGGTGCCCAGGTTTAGTCCAATCCCATCGCTAAGGACATAAGAAGGAGGTCTCCCCATCTTGAGCCGGATAAGTTACGAAGTATGACAACAAAAGTATCACCCAAGGGAAAAAAAATTCCCGATAAAATAACTCAAAAAAATTATTTGCACCTAATGAAAGTTGAACCCAAATAATTTCATTTCTTTAATAAAACAAATACCAATTATGCCTGTCACAGGCTAGAGGCCGTATTTTTGTTTGGAATAATATTATAAAGAATTGATTGGAAATCAGAGAAAAATGGAAGAATAATATTTTGATTTTATTTATCGAAAAAGATGTATTAGCATAGATAATAAAGTTTATGCTTTCAAAATATGAAAACTTGAAAGCAAAAATTTTAATAATTGTTTGTACCCAATGAAAAAATCAATTTAATGTTCAAGTTCTTCTATTTATCACCATAGTTTGAATTTTTTTTTAAATCTTATTTTTGTTTAAGGCCGCCACCTCCTCGTGGGATTCTCTCACAGTTGAAAATAACTTGGTAATATGGTTCGCAATCAAGATATGATATAATGAATTTGGGCGAATATCAGTATAAACCCACCGATTTACGAAATATGGTAAGTAATAAGTATCAACAATTAAATTCACATTCATGGTCTAAGAACCTTCTTCAGAGATTAGTACCTCCTCCACAGGTTTGTGGGTTCAATCCCCAATTGGGACATTTTTGTTTTAGTACACTTACATATATACAAAATAAAAAGGTTTGTACCAATACTTCCTCTGAGCTAGTACTTGTAATATTTATTTTTCACCATCTTATTCTCATTTTCACCATTTTGCTATTCTTTCTTCTTAACTCAGTTAAAAGAAAGAGTGCACAATATATGTCATTTATGGTAAATGAATTTAAGTACAAAATTTTGATTATATAATGTTCATACAATCATCTTTCATACGGTTAAATTTACGCATTAATATTTATATGATCATAACAAAAACATAAATAGCTCGTAAGAAATGGCATAGATAATTTTTTTTTTTCTTCTATTTTTTTGGTAATTACCTTTATTTTTACAACGAGTATGGTATTGGTAATACTAATTTTGAAAATTAAAAATAGGTCAAGCTATTTACCCACCCACCCAATTACCCACTGGACCCCCAACCAACAATGGATATGATAGTTTTTGCCTTCTTATTTTGTGCCAATAGGCTGACCCAAACAACAAGCTGTGTTGGGTTTGCCCAATGGGCTTTGGCCCAGTTTTGTTGACCAGCCTACCTCTGTCCATTTTATACTAACCTATACAACTTGCATGAATTTTTGAGAAAAAAACTCACAACTTGTCAATGCATCAGATTTTGATAGTCTGAATTCAATTCAATAACTCGTTAGGAACCCAATATATATTATAAATATATTGTTTATTGCTATTTACATATTATCAAAGTACTTTTTTAGAATTATTAAAATTTTCAGGCCTAGTCTTTCACAAAGTGAATTCAAATTGAAGAATAATTCCCAACAAACAACACTTCTACTTGAATATGACTATACCATTTAAAACTATTTTTATTTTTATTTTTATTTTTTTATTATTTATAGACGTTGTACTTAATGTTCCTCTCGTGATTATTTATCATATAATTAAATGACATAAAGAGTTTGATACTGTTTTGTTAGGTAAAGAACATCCTAGTAATTGGAGAAAAACATGTCCCATGTCCCAACACTTGGGACTTTATGTGAATTAAATAAGACTCACACAATAAGCCAAGAATTCACAACACAGTAACACACACACACAACCAATCTCATCACCAAACACGATAAATGAACATATACGTAAGCAATGACGTCCGTACAAAAATATCAAGATTCATCAAAATTCACCGAATTGTAAGTTTGCTGTCGTTTTGATTTTTGAGAAGTGTGTGTAATAATATAAAATCACTGAAAATGGAATTAGTCCTATGGGTTTAAAGAAAGTTAATGGCTTTATTTTGTGAATGTCAAATTATACCATAGCATAAAAGTTTATCTATTATCTTCATTTAGTATTAATTACATGAATTTTTTATTTTTTATGCATATAAAGTTTTGAAGCTTGAGAAGATCAAATTGTATTGAATGATAATGTCTTTTGCGCAAATTTAAACCAAGAATCCTTATCTTTGCGCAAAGTTTATCTATGTGTGTGTTTGTGTGTGTGAGGACGACAGATTTGATACTAATGGAATTCATTTCTTTGCTTATAATAGTACAAATATCAATTTATCATGAAGAATTATTGTGCAATCGAATGGGAGAAAAAAATGAAAAAGAATAATTTTATTTTATAGGTTAAGAAAGTTATATTTTTTAGCATTGATAATAAAGTAACTGGATTTGGATCTCTCCAGCAGAATGTCTCTAATGCAATTTAAAATTAAAAACAGTACCATATTGTCACAATCAAACCAGCCTTTGCCTAGCCATTATGTACAAAGCAAGCCCATTCCATTCCATATCAACTACACATTCCACTGCCAAAGCAAATCCATTCCTTTCCATATCAACTACACATACCAATACCAAAGCAAACACATTCCATTCCATATCAACTACACATTCAATACCAAAGCAAACACATTCCAAAACCAAAGCAATTCTAAAACAACCAACTGAACTGCAACAAAACCAGCCACCTCTATGGTCTCAGGTGGGGCTCAAAAAACATGGGTCTTCCAATGAATTTTGAATTTTTGCAACCCTTTAACCATGATGAGGAACTGAGGGATGCAATGAATGGAAGGCCAGCCTTGTTGGATTTTTTATTCAAAAACATTGCCCTTTCATTGCAAAGAAAATGTGGACACACAAAGGTTTAATTGATGTTCTTGGAAATGAACAAAGATTTTATGTGTTTAAATTCAATAGGGAAAGTAAATGCAACAACATCATTGAAGAAGGCCCATGGATGTTTGCAAACAAGCCAATTATGCTCAGGAAATGGCAGCCTAAAATGCAATTTAATAGTAATACTTGCTCCAACATTCCATTAGAGTTTTGGAACAGCAAAGACCTAAGCTACATTGGTAGACCCCTGTTTGCTGATGAATTGACTGAGAATTAGAACAGAATTTCATATGCAAAAGTTTGTGTGGAAGTTGATGCTTTCAAGGAACTGATTTAAAAATTCAAGTTGAAAGTGGGAAAAGAAGAGTAATTAGGGCCGAGTATCAATGGAAACCACATCTATGTCAAATATGTATATGCTTTGGTCACTCTCACAAGAATTGTTAGAAGGCAAAGATGGCTTGGGTGGAGGTCTAAAACAACTGTACAATCTAAGTCCAAGACAAGCAGAAAGACAAAGAATGGATCGCAGCCAAGTCAAAAAATGCAGGTATTAATGCAGTTAAACCTAATGAGACCTTTCCTGCTCAGACTCAAGCTGGGTGGAAACCAAACTCAAAGCTAATCCAGAGACAACAGCCCTTGCTCCCATTTTTGCAACTCCTCTCAAAGGTACCACAAGCAGCCCAATAACCTCCAACCCTACCCAAACCTCTACCCAGCAATGTGATCCATTCATCCAAAGCCATACATGTCTCCACCACCACCATTACTGATATCAACAATTTGAAAGTCAAGGTGGTACTGCCTCCATGCTCCCCTCCCCCAGCAGATAAAGTTCTTGTTCCTCCCAATCAACCAACATATTTCAAGTGTAGTCAGAATTTGATGACTCTGAGGATATTAATGAAGAACTGGTTGCATTAGTGCAAAAACATCCCATAGTCAACATCAGCAAACAAACATTTCACCTAATGACAACAAGAAGCTAGCTCGGGACCATGCTGGTGAAAAACCTCACAGAAGCAGGAGATAATGTCATTAAGAGGGCACGAATCTTAAAAACCAATAGGAAGAGACAAAGGAAGGTGGCCAAAAAAGGCCTAGGATGAAATCACTGCAAGCTTCTTTGCTGATCTCCAAACACCGCCCAACAAATGATGGTGTTTGGTGCCTGGAATGTGGGGGCATGAACAACCCCTCCAAACAAAGAGAAATAAGGAAATTCATGAATGAACAAATATTCGATTTTGTAGCATTATTAAAAACCAAAATTAGAGAGCATAGTGAAAAAGCTGTTCATGAAGCCATTTCTCAATGGCATTTAATCAACAATAAAGAATGCTTTCCTCTTGGAAGAATGTGGGTTCTGTGGAATCCTTCTACTCTCACCATCAACTGTCTAATGAAAACAAGCCAAATGGTTCACTGCTCCGCCTCCTTTTTTGACCCTAATATCCCTCCTCTTGTCATTACTTTCATCTATGGAGCTAACAACCCAGAAGAAAGGAGGGAGCTTTGGGATTCTTTGATCAATATCACCCAGTCCATCACCACTGAGCCTTGAATTCTCCTTGGTGATTTCAATGCAATCAAGTACGTAGGGAAAGATATGGTGAAACTGGCCAATGGCTGCCCCATGTGGAAGATTTTGAAATTGTATGGTGAAACAGGTGCCATGTTCATACTCTCTGGACTAACCTGCTCATTCTTCCTTCAAAAGGTCATTGAGGAGATGAACAAGATACTACAAAAGTTCCTACAGTCTTTAAAAATTGGCTCACATGTGGCCCTATGTACCAGGTGCTTCCTGATAATAGGACTGACTGGAGCATCAACAAATATGAAAGGTACTTCCCAAATCTCTAATGGGCAATAATTATGGCCAAGACATCTCTCTCTCATCGTTTCCCCCTTTTGTAACATTGCAAACCTTCCTAACCCAGTTGTCCACCAAGATGATCTCGTCCAATGGGTGCCTTCTGATATTTTTTTTCTCTCTGAAACTTACATCACCCTACCCTACCCCATCCCATACCCATTGGCACAAACTCTCTAATGCTATCCCCGAAACCTGCAAGTGACAAACTAACTGCTCATTGGATCAACTCTAGAATGCTCAAGACTGATGGTAAGTTTCCACCCGAAGGCAGTAACAGGAAAGCTTACTGGCGTGCACAGAAAGTACTGCAAATCTACACTTGATTATGCTGCAAATTGTGAACCTGCCTAATTTCTTATAAAGACTATAATAACTACGTAAACAATGGACTAAGACCTGCGAATGGTACACTAACTACCCAAAAGATCGGCTCTTAGAATGCTCAAGGCTGATGGTTAGTTTCCACCAGAAGGTAGGTAGCGACAGTAAAGCTTACAAGGTGCACAGAAAGACATTTATATGTGAGCCCGTCTAATTCTGGAAAAGACTCAATGAGAAACAGGGCATGCAAAGTAACTACTAAGTACTAAAGTAATTTCTAAGCTTGTGACAGTGGAAAGATTTTATTAAGGCGTTGTTTAGCCATCCATGGGGCTTACTCTTGATCTGCTGGATGGAGTCATTCGTCAGCACACAAAGTAGCAACATAAATATAGTTCTAATATGAAAATCAAATCTTCTGGAACTTGAATCTATTGTCTGTAGAATACACCCTCAGCTTGTAATTGAACAAGAGTAATTGAATGAGTATTTTCTAAAAACATGTCAATTATACAGCTATATCAAAATGTACATTAAAAGTAACAGTTTTCATGTTCATTGTAAAAAACAGGACGGTGACCTGAAAGGGGGCAGTTCTGCATAGTCACAACTCATCAACCATTCTCCTCAGATTATTCAAAAACACCTGCATATCACAACAGTGGCAAAACTGTTAACCATGAATTAATAAGAGTGCGGAAAAGACATCAATTATTCTACAAATTAAATTATTCAATTACCTTAGATTTCTTTTTCTCCTGCTTCTCTCTCTCTGCTTCCTTCTTCCTTGTCCACATTCTTTGCATTTGTTGTTGGGTTCTCTCTCTCTTCTCTCTCTCTCTTTGCAGCTCTTTCCATCTCTTCTTTCTTTTTCTCTTCTGCTTCCTCTTTTTTTGCATTCTCCCTGTCTTGTTTCACTTTACTGATCTTTGCTCGATCCTCTGCTTGCATTTCGGACCACTCAATAGTAGAGATCCACTTCAGTCCGGCAAACAACTCGGATGAGCTTTCAATCTTGACAGACAGGGGAAACAGTGATGAAGAAGCTGCAAGAGAATATGGAATGGATTCTACAAAACCAGGATTCTCCTGGGCCTTCTTCTGACTTTCTTGAAGCTTTCCTTCTGTGGAACTCTCAGCTTCTCGAGTCTTCCCCTTTTTCCCAGCTTCAGTACTACAACCCTCATTTCCAGATTGAGTTTCACCAGATTTTGGGGATTCACAGATGTCATCTTTCTTTGGAAGCCTATCCGAAAGGTACCTGTGGATGAATCCACTTCTGAAGAAATAAAGAATTCGTAACCTTTATAAGGACAAATCAGAGTATTGTTCCAAGTAAACTTGTTTTTCTTTTCTCCATAAAGAATCTTCTGACCGTAATCCAAGAGATTGGTCAACAAACCACTACCAACTGAGAGTTCCCATAACCGTGATAAAGAAATGCCCATTTGACAACCCAAACCCTAGAAAAGAAATTGTCAGTTTCAAGAACGAATGTTCAATAATAGTAAAAACATAAACAACAAAAACCTATGACACCATGAATGCCTCATCAAACAGTCGAAGAAAATTATTTTCAAAGATCGTAAGCAACGAAACAGAGAAACAAAGAAATCCATTTGAAGAAACCTGTAATTTGATAAAAAGCAATAACTGTAAATCATATTTCACGAATAGAAGAGAAGTTACCTAATCGATATAGAAGAACAACAAAGAAATTCTGGCTGAGATCTTTTTGAGAATTCGAATTCGAATCAAGAACTCTGTGACTGGCACAAGAGAGAGAGATGAAAATGCTGAGAGTAGTACGGAGTATTTATAAACGAAAAGGTTAGCCGAACCGGTTGGTCCGTTAACTTTTGGTCCATGAGCACGAGTTGAAAAGAGTGTGATGAAGGTTATCGTGATCAGAGCGGATACACGGAGTTAGCAGTTGTGAATACAGCTAGGGTTTTGATTTCGGAAACTAGAAGTAGGAGTACTTACTAGCGGGCTCTTTTAAATTTAAATTTAAATTTATCCTTTTTGTGTGTGTGTGTATATATATATAAATTTAAAAGTACAGCTGTAGTCCACTAGGATTATAAATTTAAATTTATCCTTTATATATATATATATATAAATTTAAAAGTACAGCTGTAGTAATTTAAATTTAAATTTAAATTTATATATTTGGAAATTAATACTCAGTATATATTTATATAGATAGACGCACACTTCCTAGCTACACAATACGAATAGAATCTTGGGCATACAAAGGAAGGCGCAAATCCTCTAAAGATTCTCATGCGCTCCGTTGCAATGAGTTTTAAGTTGTCAATATTTTAGTTACGCCTTTCTTCATTTAATAAAGACGATATTTGAATTGATGAGGTTATTACAAAAAAGGTAAAAATCATCTTTACCCTGAAAAAAAATATACATGTAATGCAAACTAACTAATGTTAGATATAAACATAACTCAATTCAATATATTATTTATGTTATTATTTGAAATTAACGTATTTTAAAAACACTTTAATATGTTAATTTAAAAAATTTAAACCAAAATTAAAGTAAATGTATTAACTTTAGACAACAAACAAAACATTTGATGTTTCGAAAAATAATGAAAAGAGTCGCATCTTTTTTTTTTTCTTCCAATTATTAAAAAAAATACACTTAGGTATAAATTATTTAACATATCTTTGAAAAAAATTTGACAAAGTTTAATATTAATTGCCACACTTACCACCTTTACCATCAAAAGAAAAAATTTGGCAAAATTTAATATATGCCACACTTACCACCTTCACCGTCAAAAAAATGTATTCACATAATACTGAAAATTTAATAGTCACACATAAATATAACTCAATTCAACATATTACTTATATATTTTTTTAACTTAAATTTTATCATAAAAAATAGAACATTCAAAAAAAATAGTCATATGTTAATTTAAAGAGGATTTTGAAGGGAATTATGAGGTATTTGGCTGTCAACAACCTTTACTTTTTAAGTGGTTATATTACCCTCTTACAAATGGTGATGTTACTTTTTAGGCTCCTATGATGTTGCTTATAAATGGTGGTGTAATTGCTAAATGCGGTCTCAAGAGCTGTTAAATGAAAAAGGACGTGGCCAAATATAGACCACTTAGGAGCTTACTGCGAGGGACCACATAGGAATCCATTTCAGAGGATTCGCGCCTACAAAGGAAGCGCCTAGTTAGTATTAAATGGAATCAAATCGGAGTTGAACTTAATTGAATCAAATCGGGTCAGAACTCAATTCTTGATTCGGTATCAAGATAAACGTCCACAAAAATATTCGGGTTATTACCATATTTTTTGTAATTATGATGGACGAGTAGGCAAGATGAATGTGAATGAGAATTTGTGGGGGGAAGCTATGCTCGCCACATGTTTCATACTCAATTGAGTAACTGTCCAACTTAATGATAGAACTCTATATGAGTTATTGAAAGGTAGAGTACCTAATCTTCAAATCTTGAAAGTATGGGGTGTCTAGCTAAAGTACACCTACACAAGCCAAAAAGAAATAAAATAGGATCTAAAACCATAGATGCCATCTTTATATGATATGCTTAATGTAGTAGTGCCAATATATTCTTAGTATTTAACTCCAAAGTTAGTGATATAGCAAAAGATTCAATAATAGAATCTAGAGATGCTACCTACTTTGAAGATATATTTCATTATAAGTCTAGAATACTAAGTCAAATAGTTGATAAATCTTGAACCTATTATAGTCATTTAGTATCTTCTACACCATTAATGGAAGATTCTCAACCACAAGAACTTAGAAGAAGTAAAAGACATAGTGTAGAAAAGAATTTTGGAGATGACTTTTTCACATACTTAGTCAAGGGTGATCCAACTACATATAAAGAAGCAATGTCATCTTTAGATACTCCTTTTTTGAAAGGAAGCTATAAATAACGAGTTTCAATCTATATTACAGAATGACACTTGGGTATTAACCGATTTACCTCCTAGAAATAAGGCTATAGGTTGTAAGTGGATTTTTAAAAGGAAGTTAAATTCGGATGGAAGTATAGATAAGTATAAGGCTTGACTAGTAGCTAAAGGTTTCACCCAAAAGAAAGGAATAGATTATTTTGACACATATTCCTCTGTGACTAATATCACAACCATTAGAATACTAATAGCTTTAGCCTCTATCCATAACTTAGTTGTGCATCAAATGGATGTTAAAACCGCATTTTTAAATGGTGTCTTAGATAAATAAATGTATATGGAGCAACTTGAGGGATTTCTAGTAAAAGGACAAGAGAATAAGGTGTGTAAATTAATTAAGTCCTTATATGGTCTTAAGCAAGCTCCTAAATAAAGGCATGAGAAGTTTGATAAAGTAATCTTAGATTATAGATTTAAGATTAATGATAGTGATAAATGTGTATATTGCAAGGAGAATAATGGAGAAAATGATATATTATGTTTATATGTGGATGACATATTAATTTTTAGGACAAACTTAGAAATTGTATGTGATATAAAGTCTTACCTCTCAATGAATTTTGAAATGAAGGATTTAGGAGAGACATCAATGATCTTAGGCATGAAATTGGAAAGAATTTCTCGAGGTATCACCCTTAATCAATCTAGTACCATTGAGAATATGTTAATTAAAGAGATTTAGCTACATTGAGTGTTATAAAGTCTTGACACCATATGATCCGAAAGTACCTTTGAAGAAGAATGAAGGCGAACCTATATCTCAATTAAAATATTCTCAAGCTATAGGCTCTCTTTTATACTTGGCAAATAAAACTAGGCCTGATATTGCCTATGTTGTTGGTAGACTTAATAGATTTACACATAATCCAAGTCAGGATCATTGGATGGCGATAGATAGAGTATTTAAATATCTCAAGACTACCACAGATTATTCCTTGTGCTATAAAGGTTTTCCAAATGTGGTGGAAGGATATAGTGATGCAAATTGGATAACTGATAACCTATAAATAAAATCAACTAGTGGTTATTTATTTCTTCTTGGAGGAACCACTATATCTTGGAGTTCTAAGAAACAAACAATTATCATGAGGAGTACTATGGAATCTGAACTCATAGCCTTAGATACTACATGTAGCGAGGTTGAGTGGATCAAAGGCCTATTACTAGATATACCTTTAGTAGATAAGCCTATGCCTGCGATATCGTTACATTGTGATTGTAAGACGGCTATTGATTTGGTGAATTAATCCCATACAAACAAGAAGTCGAATAGACATATACAATGAGATATAAATCCATGAAATGTCTTTTGAGTAGGCAGGTGATCTCATTAGACTTTGTAAGATCTGAGAAAAATATAGCTGTCTTTTAGGGAATGTGGTCCTAGATATGTCAAGGGGGATGGGCTTAAGCCCTAAGGGAGTCACCTACAGAGGTAACCCAACCTTCTAATTGGTTATTTAATCGCATGAAGAACGGTTTAATAGGTAGAAACAATTTGCAATGCATGATTCATTAACAACACACTGTTATTAGGAGGTTTCTCGAGGAGATTCACTCCTGCTCATCCCTATGGCATCAGTGTTGTGATGTGATGTTAAGGAAAGGCTCTGCCCTGAATGATTATAAGGCGGGCATACTTTCGCAGGGTATAGGTTACATATACCCATGGAGGATTCACGTAAGTAAGAGCCGTCGTGTGGCCGCAACTATGAGAATTGGTCTGTCCTTTAGTAACTCTCATGAGAATTAAGATAGCAGCACATGACCATTAATAGCGTTACCCTATTTGACCAAAGTCTTTCGTCGATATTATGTGTGTAATGTGTTGAAGTTTGATTCAAAGGGCTGAATTCAAGACATAGTTCATTCTGGTTCTTCAAATGGAAACTATTACACTAAGTGAAAGTTTAAGCTCAGAAAGTACCTACACCCATGGCATAGTATCATGTTGCCCATATCAATATTTTTTTATTTTTTATTTTTTTATACACATTTATAATTTTAAAAAAAGTTTTAAAATCTTGGGGGGGATTGTTGAGAATTTTAAAAAATTTTAATATCCTTTATTATTTGAATTTTATATTGTAACTTACATGGAATTAATTTACATGAACTTTAGACTATAACATATAGAATTTATTGAGTTTTATTATAGCAAATAATGGTAATAATGAGTTAACCACTCCAGAGAGAAGATACCCATCTGCTCTACCATATTTGTGTATTATTTTTATTTTTCCTGCAATTATCCTATCGATATCTTTCATACATTTTACCCATATTTCACTATTTTGGGCAACTTGCCATTGAAGACTTGATTTTTCCACCGTGGTTATTAAGATTTGTTAGTTTTAAATGTATTAAGTTTATATTTTTATGGACTCTACAAATATGACTTTTTTAGACAAAAAATATCCTTTTAAATTATCTAACATTTCTTCTTCTCTTCTCTTCTTCTTTTTTAATCGATTCATATGAAAATGTGTGCGTGTGTATATATAATGACTAGTGTTATGTGAATGGATTCTAAAAAGGAAAAAAAGATAGATGGGATAATCCATTTACAAGAGATGGATGGATTTTGAAAAAAACATAAAAGGAAGGAGGAAAAAAAAAAAAAAAAAGCAAGACAAAAATCCAAAATCAATTTTTTTTTTTTTTTAAAAACAAAATTAGTTGTTATACATATATTTCTTCTTACAACTATCCTTGAATGAATGAATTCATTCCTTCTTCTTTTTTTTTTTTTTTTTTTTTTTTTTTTTTAATCCTTTTTTTTGTTTTATATATATATATATATATATTGGAAAAAACAAAAAAAAGGATTAAAAAAGAGAAAAAAAAAGAAGAAGAAGGAATGAATTCATTATATATATTGGAAAAAACAAAAAAAAAGGATTAAAAAAAAGAAGAAGGAATGAATTCATTATATATATATATATATATATATATATATATATATATATATATATATATATATTGGAAAAAACAAAAAAAAGGATTAAAAAAAAGGAAAAAAAAAAAAGAAGAAGGAATGAATTCATTATATATATTGGAAAAAACAAAAAAAAGGATAAATAAAATAAATAAATAAAAAAAGAAGAAGGAATGAATTCATTCATTCAATGATAGTTGTAAGAAGAAATATATATATAACAACTAATTTGGTTTCTTTTTGTTTTTATTTTTTATTTTTACAACTATCCTTGTATAAATGTTTTTTTTTTTTTTTGTTTTTTTTTTAAAAAGGAAAGAATTCATTCACAAGGATAGTTGTAAAAAGAAATATATACTTGTGTGTATATATATAACTAATTTTGTCTTTTTTTTAAAAAAAAAAATCTCATAATCCATCTTGTATATGGATTCTTTTTTCACTCTTATTTATTTATTTTTCTTTGCGGCCTTAGAATTCGTCTCTTGTGAATGAATCATCCTATCTAACATTTTTTTTTTTTCTTTTTTCAAAATCCATTCACATAACATTAGTTATATATATATATATATATATATATATATATATATATATAATATACACGCACACATTCATATATGGATCGATTAAAAAAAGAGAGAAGAAGAAACACTAAGATAATTTAAAAGGATATTTTTTGTATAAAAAAGTCATGTTTTTAGAGTCCATTAAAATAGAAATTCAACTAATTAATGCATTTGAAACTAAGCGATCCTAAAAACGTGAAAGGATAGTCATTTGGGCTACTGCAATTAGCACTTCTCCTATAGATACATATCATGTACATGGGCAATGTGTCCAACAATTGTACCATATCAATTTTTTACAAAAATAGGTGGTTCCTCAACAGTTTAATAAATTGTGATGAATTCAACTATTTTACTAAACTAACCAGTTTTATCGCAGCTTAATAAATTGTGATGAATTCAACTACTAAACTATATATATATATATATATATATATATATATTATTTATTAACTATTCAACTATATACATGGGTAGGGTAACTCTAATTCCCTTTATTAATCCTGATGTGTGAAACCTTCCAAATTAAAACTGAAATTATTACACTGTACTTGGAAGAGCAGGATTTGATCGGAATTGAATTTCGAAAGGGATTTATTTTTGGAACAATGGAATTTTAAAAAGGAATGAATTTGTTAACTAATCAAAATATGTTTTTTTTTTGGTTAATTATAACGGCACTTCTGAGCTTTGTCGGTTTGTCGTATTGATAGAAATATATAGGTTGGCCATTTTTAGAATACTTACACCCCCTGTTAGAAGTTTAAGGCAAACAAGCCCTTAAAATATGTGAAAAGACAAGATTGCCCTTCACTAAAATATTAATTATTAATCTAAAATATTAAAAAAATTATATAACATAATTACCCTTTTAAAATACTTCTCTCTACCCTGCTCCAAAAAAAACCCAAAAAACTTTGCTCTTCACCACCAATCCTCCTCTCCAATCCTCCCGGATTGGTACACAATCGAATCCCGATGAATTGATCAGACTGGTTGGTGTTGCATTTGGGGAACTAAAACCCAAATTCGGCTGGGGCTTCTGCAAATTCGTAATCGATGATGGTGGTGGGTGTGGTGGTACTATGAAGGTAAAATTTGAGTCTTCGAAGTGGTGGTGGGGTTGGGTGTGGTGGGGTTGTGGAGTGGGGATGGTGATGGGTGTGGCGGGGTGGTGATGTGGTGGTGGCAAGGTTGTAAAATGGTGGTTGCAGGGTTGTAAAGTGGTGGCGGGGCCGTGATCTGGTGGTGGCGGCGGGTGTGGCAGGGCTGTGGAGTGGTGGCGGGGCTGGCTGTGATATGGTGGTGGTGGTGGGGCTGTGATATGGTGGGTGTGGGTGTGGCGGCACTGTGAAGCTGAGAGGGTAGAGAGAGGAATTGGTGGAGGTGGTGGTATGATGATGGTGACTATGGTGGTGTGCCGCCAATGGAGGGGCAACCAGCCAACTACCCTCTTCTTCTCCCATTCTCTCTCTAAGGGTGTGTTTGGATAGTATTAGTTATGAGAGAAAAGAAAAGAAAAGAAAAGAAAAGAAAGGATAGTATTTTAGTGAGAAAAGAAAAGAAAAGAAAGGATAGTAATAATTTTTATTTGTGTTTGGATAGACAGGGGAGAAAAGAAAAGAAGTGATAGTTATTTTTGTTTGGATAAGATAGAGAAGAGAAAAGAAAAGAAAGGATAATAGACAAATTACTTTTTTACCCTTTTATAACCATGGGACTTGGATGGAATAATAAATCTGTGTATTGATTTGTGGAGGCTAATTTTGGTATTATCAAAATACCACTAAAATCACTATCCTTTCTCTCACTATCTCTCCCTATCTTCTCAATTTTGAGGAGAAAGCAAATAAGAGATAAGGAGGGATAGCTATCCCTCCCTATCTCTCCTTATCCCTCCCTATCCCTCCACTTAAGTTACCCAAACACAAACTTACACTATCCTCTCTTTTCTTTTCTCTCCCTATCCCTCCAAATCAACCCTACCAAACACACCCTTAAGGATAATGCTTAGCTACTCACTGGTGAGTATGGTAAAGCTACTTACCCTTTATGTGGCCCAATAATAAAATAACATATCACATTTAAAAATAAAATAATCCACACATAAAAACACTATATATGGTTTATTCAATGATTGATCCGAGAAAGTAAAAAAAAAGTGTAAATTATTTTATTATTAAAAGTGATGTGTTAGTTTGTTATTGGATCACATAAGGGTGAGTAGTTTCATCCTATTCACTGGTGAGTAGTTAAGTATTGTCCCTATCTAAATATATATATATATATATATATATAAGAGGAGATGATATATATCTAGGAGTAAATTACCGTATACTATATGTTGAAAAATCATCATCAAAACTTGTGGTTACAACCAATTAAAAAAGGCCGTGAAAAATCATGAACAAAACCTAATTGCTCAAACAATTATGCAATTAAGCAACTAAATTGTACTTTTCTCTCTTTGTTTCTCTGTTCCCTTTTTCTATTTGTTTAGAACTTTAATTTATTTTGTGAGGTTCTGCTTGTTATACTGATGATTTTGTGCAGAGAAAATCAAGAAATTGATTTTAAGCACTCCTACTGTAATTGTACCATTTTGAATAATATTTATAAAACACCCCATGGACGATAATAACTGTGTTTTTCTCTCTAAATGTCTACATTTTACCGTGTGTGTATAATGCTACATGCCATAGCGTCTACGGTATGCCAGAGATGTGTGCAAGAGTATGCTACTCCTTGTAGGTCATACAGACATATATGTATTCGGTGTACAGTTGTAGTGATGTGACAAGTTTGGTTAATTAAAATTAGTGAGAAGGTTAACTTTGTAATTTCAACATTTCAATGATTTAATTAACAAGCCAAAGGATAAATTAGTCATTTTTTTTTTATGTTTCAGGATACAAATAGTGTTAGAGGATGTTTTGTTAACTTTATCAAATTTGAGTGGTTTCCTTGTTCAAAAAATGACTAATTTATATATACTTGTCAATATGATAAATTTCATGGAGTGTTATTGTAATTAATCCTATTTTATTATTATTATTATTTTTTAAAAATTTCCTTCTACAAGTTTTAATTTAATTACAGTCCAATCTATTTTCTAAATTTCAATTTTTATTGCGTTTTAATATTCCTTCAGAGCAAGTGTTTGGTAAACATTAAAACTTAAAAGTGTTTTTATTGGTTAGATAGAAGTTGAATACTTTAAATAATTTTTTTTTAATAAAGTTAAGTACATTCTTTCTTTAATAAAATTACTATTATTAAATACTACGATAACAAATATTATTACCGCAATTGTTTGATCGATCTACATATAAAAGCACGACCCAAACTCTGTATACAATAAGATTAAGAAGATGTCGCCATCAAAGGAATTTGAGAGCGTGGGAAACGGTGCAATCCTGACGGGCTTGGGTCTGGCTTGCGTGGCCTTGCCGTGCTGGTTGAGATCCCGGTATTACAGAGACCGTGTCAGACCCAAATTAATGGACGGAGTCCAATCAGTTGCCATATCTGATCTTCGATCCCTCCTTGACACCAGCCCCACCAATCCTGCAGCCGCCACCACCACCACTGGAAGGCTCATATTCGTTCGCGGTATAATTCAGGCCAAGGTCGCCAAGGACGGCGATCATTTTATTTCCAAGTCCGGCGAGAAAGCCGTAGCCTTGCGTAGAGTTGTGTGGGTATGTGTACTTTTATCTGATTTAAACATTATTGCTTATCAAAATTCTTCATATTTAATGATAATTACTGCTCTCGATCCTATAAAAAGTGTCATGTTCTCCAAACATATAACTCATTGCATTAACACGCATATAGAGTAGGAGGACTCTCTCTTAGTTTGTCAGGAAAGAGTCGAGTTAGTAAAAAATTTCAAATAAGGGACTCCTAAATTTTTTTTAATTTTTTTTTTTTTTTTTTTGGGTATTTCTTTGTCTTTAACAAAGAAAAAAATATTAAAATCTAACCAAAAAATAATAATAATAATATTAATTTACTCATCAAACATGTATTGTTTTTATTAATACATTATACATTTGAATGTTGATTATTGTGCTATTTTGGTCTCCGTATAGAAGTTTTTCTCAAAGGATTGGAGAGACTTATTTCTACCAGTTTCTGATTTGAAAACCCGCATAAGGGAATTTCATGAAGAACGACGTTGGCATCTAATTAATAAGGTATGTTGGTAATTCCACTGTTGAAATCCTCCTGTATTTAGTCATACTTAATCAATCCATTTTGTTTAATTAGTTGTTTAATATAATTCTTGCGGTAATTGTTTGTTAAGTTTTTGATCGTGCTTAATGAAAATAAAAGTATATATGCCGGTCAAGTGCAAAAAACATCCCTATGGTATGCTTACCGTGCATATTGCATCCCTCCCATACAAAAAAACACCCCTAAGACATTAATACAAATAGGTCCTATTTATAAAAATTAAACTAAAATACTCTTAGCAACATATTTTATAATATATATAAAAATATATATATTTTGTGAAATGACTAAAAATGGTTTGGCCGTTCTTCTTCTTCATCATCTTGGGGTTGTCGCGGCAGAGAGGGAAGGGGAGACTGGAGAAGACATCAGCCGTCGCCGTCGCCACCACCACCCACACAATCCGAATCCCAACCCAACACCCATCAGAGGATTGGTTCCTCAACTTGTTGCCGGAATCTGCAACTCTCCACTGCCAAAGCCCTCTGTTTTCTCGGCAAGGAGAAGCTCGGCTGTGAGCTTCTCGGTGGTGAGTTCGGCAAGGATGAACTCGGTTGGTGGAGACGGGCTGGCGTAACGGTGCAGAGAAGTGTGATATGGCCGGCGGATCTAGCGGGTGGTGCAGCTGCGATGATGTATTCTGCTACTGGAATTTGTGTTTGGGTGGTGGGGTATATATATATATATATATATATATATATATATATAATGTGTTGCTAGGAAGAAGGAGACATGTTAGACCAAAAGTGCAGTTTTTTTTTCTTTCTTCTGGGTGATCTCAATTTTCCACGCAGTTATGTTTATCATCCGCCAAACATGATGACATTGGTCAGCCGAACCACTCGCCGGCAAGAAAAGCCCGGTTTTTTGACACTGTTGCTTCACTTTATGCAGCACCAAGTCCACCTGATGATCATTTTTTGTCGATTCTGATGCTTTATATATGGAGTACATAAGAGATTTAATTCAAATTGGTCCAAACCTTCTTCACAGCTAGTAAATTAAGTATACTACTACTTCCTCATGTGGGCTTTGCTATTGTTGATTCTAATGGTCAGTGCTTGAATTCAATTGAAGGGATTCTGCAAGTTCCTTCTGTTATCAGTCCATTTGTTGTTTCTTTTTATTCACCCTAACTTAGAAACAACCGTGACTTAGAATTAATGGTACTTTAGGTGCACAAAATCTCGGACCAACCACCAATGTTTGCCTACTCACAAGGAAAAGATGTGAAGTCAAAAGAAAATTATTCAGAGAGAATTGCTTGCTTTTATTCATATTTATAATGTACAAGAAACCCTATTTCTTTGAACTCTTACCCTTGATTCAAACGTAATTTCTACAATGGGTGTGGGCTTGTTTCAAAAGCCCACTTGAGGGGCATTTTTGAAAGAGTAAAAGGGTAAAATGGGCATTATATTAATTGAGGGATGTTTTTTGTACACCTTTTTAAATAGGAAGTAAAAGTGCTATGAAATGTATACTTCAGGGGTGTTTCTTGCATTTAGCCCTATATATATATATACACACATTAATGGGTTGCTTTCCTAGTGTTTACAGGATCAGATATTGTACTGGATTTTATGTTTCTTTCATAATGCAGCCCTGTTATGCTCTTAACTTTGGTCTCCATATAACCAATGTACAAATTACACCACCAATTTATGTATACATTTTAATTAATACTTACATTGTATGTTAAATAATAATATAATACTTATATATATAGATGCTGCCTTTGATGTCCACAGAGAACTATCATACAAAAGATTGTATTCTTTTCTTTTCTTTTTTTGGTAAGGAAGTCTTTCACATTTATTCCCGTGCATTTTCATGTTTGGAAGAACCTTAAAACCCTATCATACTTTCCGAATGTTTAGAAGTCAATTTGGAAACTTTGGAAGTGTTTTGAAAACCAATTCAGACTAGAAAACTCATTCTTAATCTATCCCAATATGCATGGGCATAAATTAATGAAACGCTACTTTGAAGTCCGAATAAATCCGATTGATTTATATGAGTGGTGAATATCACAATGTCTTTCATATTTCGAGGCATTGATGTACTGTGGGCTTAGTGGGGGCGGATGCCCCCACTAAATTTTTTTGTTATTGCATTTTACGTCCCTAAATTTGTGCATTTTTGCATTTATATCGATAAAATTTTAAAATTGTCCCCACTGAAATTATGAAAAAAACCACTCTATAATTTGCCCCATATGAATTTAATATCAGTCATTATTCACATAAAATTAGGCAAATTTGTCTGACCGTCGGATTCCTATCATTACTCTATAGATATTATTATCTTAGAGACTATTGTGGAAATAGGAAAACAAATTAGTTAATCTAATATTTTAAATCATCACCAAACGTAGTGCCTTCATATATGATTATTTTGTGTACTTGGTTTTGGTTCCAACTTCTGCGCAGGTCCCTTTTATTCTTGTTGAAGGTGGTCAAAAGCCTTCTTCGGATTACATTGTTGTGAACATGGATGTCGACGATCATCTGATACCTCTTCAGACATCATATAGACAGTATGAGCCGATTGATCGTTCCGTTACAGACATCTTGAGACCAAGTGAACATGGGTTCCCCGTACGTTTCAGAAATTTTTCCTTATACTTCTGAACTTGATTGCTTTATATATATATATATATATATATATCTTGTGTTTTCTGCTAATAATCTTACGCGCTCTCTCTGCATTCACAGGTTTGTCAGTTGTTGGAAGAAGCAATTCTACCACTTGGAGGGCGCATCAGTGCGGTCGGCATTTGCTGTTATGAAAATGGAATCCCTGTTATCAGCCATTGTAAAGAGCTTCATTATTTCTTGTAAGGGGTTACTTGCTTCTAGAACGTCTAACGTGAGGTTTAACACTTTAATGTAAACTCCAAAGCGCCAATTTGGTGCTCTCAAACGCAACTTTACCTTAAAAAATTGTTTTCCCGCTCATTCTTGGCGGTATTTACTTGCTTCTGCAGGACTAATTGCGGGAGTAAGGATGAGTTGGTGGAGGAAGTTTTATCACAAAGCAAAACTCTTTCCAAGCTAAGCCTTTTCCTAGTATTGCTGGCGCTAGGATTCTATAGCTTTGGTGTTGTGAGGTATGTGTATTAATTCTGGTACTAATTTTGAATCATCCTGCAACTATGATATGAAACATTTTTTTTTTTTAAATATTTATTTATTTATTGTTCTTATTTTTATTATGGATCTTTCAAGCAATTTAGGCACTAAATTTGCTCAAAATGATTAATTTGTTGTCAGGAAGTGGAGAACATCGAAAGGGCTGAGATAGCAGACACCGGCAGAGCCAACACAATGAATAGATTTTTTTTTTTTTTTCTTCTTCCTTTCTGATAGTTGATTTTCGGGCAAAGGATATATGTTCGTAACTTCGGTCAAACCACATGTTAGGATGTTTTTTTCTCTTCATAATTATATGTTAGGATTTATGTTCAAGTTGGTTTTGTGCTGGCTGACACGTTCATCATATTTGCGTACAATACAAATGCTTTGTACAAATGTATAAAAAAGATTAGAGGGTCTGATATATTTTTCACTGAATGAGTACATATATGAATTATACAAAAATTATGAATAAATTCTCAAGAAAAAAAAATCTCGGATTTAAAGTAAGTAGTTGTTCACATGGTATTAGAGCAGGTTAGACGAGGCCAAACACACTACTTACATCACCCATTCAGCATCTTCTGAATTCGGACGCTCATTCAGCTTGAATTCGAAAGATGTGTCACTACAACTCAGATTGTGCTGGTTATTTTAGGGGCGTGCCGGAATGAAATTAATAGCCAAACTCAGATTGTGTTGGTTACTTTTGTACTACAATGAAGAAAGCAACAGAATATAATATATACACATTGTGGTGAGAAAACGCGAGAGTGAAAACACACACTGTTGTATTAATTTTATTCCAATTTTTCCGTTCTTACTGAGGAAAGCAGTCAATACAGAGGAAACAAGAAGTCCAATTCGCAGATAAACATTTCCGGTGTCTGAAAACAAGACCTGCGAAGATTTCTCCTGTGCTGACCATGCAGATAGGGTTCAGAGGTTGTGCCTCTTCGATCATCCCCTGCACGTATCATAACTTGAATTTGTTCTTCCCTTCTTCACCTTTCTTCTTCAACGATGTCCAATCCACGCCCTAAAACCCCTACGCAGCTTTCCCTGTAGAGATGTAAAAAAAAAAGGTACTGATGGTTAAAAATCCATAGTGCTTGGAGATCCAATATTTATACACTTTCCATATATAAATTCTTTCAATGCATATGTTCCTGCTTTATATTTTATCAACTTATTTCAACCACAATTCTAAAAGCATCAAATTCAAGCTTCTACCAAAAATTTTACTTCATCAAAATCTCTGCCACCAAAAAAAGAACTTTGTTTGTGCCATAAACAGAACTAAAAGTGATTTTAGAAGTACTTTTATCCTGCCGAACTGCAACACCACCCTACTTCCACTTGATACCAAAGCTTAGTTTTGAATACCATTTCGAAGAATATGGCAGGAAAAGAGCTTGCTGGTGTCAAGGATGCATGTATGGGTCACCAGACTCACCACCAGCATACTGAGAAAATCAAAACACGGCATGGCTTAACCGATATGTAACAAGACACCAAACTCTGCTCCAACAATTTAAAATTTTCTCATCTTGCAAACAGCAATACACTATGCCTAGGGGGAAAAAAAAAATCCCTATAGAAGGATCAGTTTTCCATTCTGTTCAAACTTGTGTGTTTTGTTGAGCTTCTTAAATGCATGCTCCTAATACAAATAACAAAATTTTAATATTTATAAATAGGTTAAAGGGGGTTTATATTTCAAGTCTTTTGTCTTAACCTGTACAGCTACCATAGGCAACTGGTACCATATTTTTGTACATTATGCCAAGTGCCAACCCGAAGCATCTGAAGTAATATTATGAGTTTTATGGATGCGAACTCCATAGTTTTATGGCTTCGAACTCTATACATGTAAAAACCTAATATTCTATGTTGAAAGATACAGAAAGCAACATTAATGACGATCACTTACAAATACTAGTAAAAATTATGATTCATTGAATGAATAATGATACTACAATTGTGCTTACAATAATTTCATGGCTTAAGCCACTGTGCAGGAAACACATTCTTTATGCACGTTTAATGATATGGAGACACCCCAATCAATGGCTCCATACCAGCCAATTGATGCTGCAAGAACCTGTAAACTGATTCAGTTGTCGTGGCAGCTATTCGAACAACAACGCCCATACCCTGCCCAAAAAAAAGAAGTGGCTATGTAAGTCAGCTGACCTTTATGACAGAGGCCCATGAGGCATGGTAGACACCTCACTTCCTATGTTTACAACAATGGATAAAACCTATAATTGGATCTTGATAAAAATGAATAACATACTAAACAAAAATTTAAGGCTCAGAAAAAGTAGACATAGAATTTGCATCTTGTCAGAACCCTAAACAGAAGTACTTAGAATTGGTTTGACCAGGAAGTAGTCTACCTGTCCTCCAAAAAATTGCTGTGGCAGGGTTAGCATGTTGACTAGATCGAAATGACTCAATGGTTCGTATTTGCAAGGTTACAAGGATGAGTAACACTTGGTAATTAAATTAGTATTCAAGTTTACAGCTTCCAGTCAAGGTTTGAGAAAATTTGATAACTCAGTTGCAAAGTGACTGAACTACCTTATAGCAGAGAGGTTCGATTAAAATACCTTTGGACCAAACACACTGCAAGAAGCAATAAAGGTTGGCTTAGTCAAGAAATGACCAGAACTTGTTTGTATTTGGCGTCCCAAGGCGGCGGAAGAAATGTGTAATTGCTCAGACATCATCTTTTTTACATCTTCTTGAACTTGGTTTTGAACATGCTTCAACTTTGGCCTACATCCAAACAAGTGATAGCAGTGTTGGTTCAATCAAATTCCATTCATCCATTTTTACACCAATAAACCCAAGGTTCACCATGGAAAATATTCAATCGTCAATATGAAATAACTAGGGTGAAAATTTGATCAAAATATGTCATGTAGAAGCCAACACATACCCCCAAAGTATGACCATTGCAATGACCTGGTATTCTTGCATGCGTTCAGCAATAGTGGTAATGCTTCCATGTTCTAAAAATATCTGTAAAATAGAAAAATTTCAGAAAATGGGAGTGAGGTGAGAAATTAGTTGGTCCTGATGCACAAGTTTAAAACTTCATTTGCTAAATTTTTAAAAATCTTACAAATAGAACCAAGACAGTTTGCCAAAAAGATTCAATAAATAATGAGAAGAATATGTATGTGTTTGTAAATATTTTGTTCATCCATCATACATGTTAACGTAGAGTAGGAAAGAGTTCTAACATTTCACTTCACACTTTTTTTTTTGGGGTAAAGAAGATTAAATTACAAAGATTTCAGTTCACACACATGACAAGAGTAAAAAAAAAAAAGGTGGGGGGGGGGGGGGGGGGGGGGGGATAATTTTGATTTTATTATAATGTTGGCTGGAAAATATTTGAAAAGAAAACATCTTATTTACCAAAAAAAAAAATGTAAAACCCACTGGATCTGATTCCTTCTGTTGCAACCATATCTATATTGTACATCCTCAAATGACACCTCTTCAGACTATTTGAGGCCACCAAAATGCATTCACATTTTACCATTTGAATATCTACAAAATACAATAAACGAAAACAGTGCAGCACACTTCTTAAACAATGGCTTTAAGTAACTACAATTGACTTTAATAAATAACAGAAATAATTTTGAAGCATGATCTTGCTGCTGTTGTAAAGCTATCATAGCATAAACATTTTTTTAATGATTAAATCCACCAGAGGCAGGGGGGATGGACTTTGTCCCATCCATACAGCTTAGGTCTCCAAAAAATGTAAAGAATTTGACGTTCCCAGAAATAAAAAACTGAAACATATCCATCACAATCTCCATATTACGGAGAGACAATTCCGCATACTCAAAAGTGTACCTATCCCATCATATACACAATATGAGACAGAGAGGAGCAACCTACCAGGCCTTGCCACTGGGACAACCTCCCACATCACCCCATGAAGTCCTATATTTGTCCTAGGCATGATTCAATGCACATCAAACAAAGAAAATAATATGCACCACAAGTCAGCCAAAGAATGAAGAAGAAGATGATTAGTGGTTTCATCTGTGCCCTTACACACAAAACAGACTCTGTAAGTTATCAATAGTCAAAGTTGCCTCCACTAACTAACATATAAAAACAGATACTTTACAAGGTATTCTAACCTTCCAAATACCTTTCTAAAGGATCCAGGCCTCACATATCCACAAAGTAAAAGGATCCAGGCCAACACATAAGCACTCTATAGAACAAGCGGACTTTAAAACTACCTTGTCTGCTGGGGATAATCTGAATACTGAATGGTTATGGAGGATTTCCAGAAGAGCATCAATAGAATCAAACTCCCAATCCTGAAAAACTCTATAGAACCGGCTTCCCAAGCTAAGAAGCACAAAAAGGTCTACGGGACACGGATATGAAACGGCTCGAATACGGCGTACGGTAAATCCTAAAAACTTAGGACACAAATACGGAGGGGACACAACAAATAATAAATGTTATATATATATATATATATATATATATATATATGATATTTTACTTTAAGAAATTAAGAGTAATATTATTTTTATCAACCTAAAAATGAAAAAATTTGTGTTTTGCCAGGTAAAAGAAAGAAAGATGATTAAGATAAATTAAAAAAAAAAAAAGAAAAGAAAAAGAATTAGGGCTTAATTAAAAATAAAGGTAATAATTCATAGAAGACAAAAAGTGAATGGAAACAAGGGGGCAAAAGGAAAAAGAGACACAAAAAGAATTTTGTTGTGAAAGGAAAAAAAGAAGTATCTAGGGTTTGTGAAGAAAGAAAAGATGAGGAAGAGGGAGGAGAGAGAGAGAGAGTGACAATCCACCAATAGCGAAGCTTGGTTGGTGGGAGAACAAGAGAGAGCCAAAGTTTATCGGACAAGATTTTGAACCTTTGAACTACAATATAGGCCTAAATATCCGGTTATTCTAATATAAAATTGTTTTATAAAACAACTTTGAAGTAATTATGTAATGACCACCATATTATTGAAAGTTGTTAAACAACTCTTCCTATTGACACTTCAACCCAACTTTCTTTCTAAAACTTTCTTACAAATCCCCAAGAATGTGATACGCATGTCAGACATGTATCCATGACATGTCCGCAGTGTGTCCGAATATTAAAGAATTTTTTTTTAAAAAAAAATCAGAGACATTTTTTGGCGTGTCCAACGCGTGTCGGGGTGTGCCCCGCACGTGTTGATGTCCGATATGGATTCTTTGCCCTTTTAGGCATGTCCGTACTTCCTAGCTCCCACATCACTACATTGTATGAAAACTCAACATAGTCAAACATGCACGCATCTATCCATGGCAATTCTAAGAGATGGAATGTCCTTAATCCAACATCTATGAACCAAAAATTATGCCATACGACAGCCATATTCCCCCACAATAAAACCAATGAACTTAGAGAATTCCTCCCACCCTTTTCTGATGATTTTTAGAAGCCTGATTGTAGGAACATGTAGTATCCTTCATGGAATTCCACACCACAGAATCGTCCCCAAATTATCCCCTTACAACTCTCCTTACATGCAATCAGACACCACCTTGTACCTCCAGAGTCATTTCCCCACCTAAGAAGCATAGCATATTAGTATGTAAATGAGACACAAATAGGACATGATATGACCTGCCATGAGCATATTGACATGGAAATCATTAAAAAGTAGTAGATTAACACATCGAGGACATAGAAATTAAATATATATTTTTATATATAAAAATTATATTATATACAACAAATTTATATTCTATAATTCTAATATGAAATTTCGTAACTCATAAATAATATAATTATAGTCACGCACGTTGCATAAATAAAGACATAATATTTGGATGTGTGTTTTTGCATATGTATGTAGACGCGCCCGCGTGTGTGTGTGTATATATCACATAAATTGATGACTTCATTCTTAATCCAATGCCTGCTCCTTCAACAAGATCTCTTATATTTTTTATTTTTCAGATATTGTTAAACTTTACATAACCTTCCATTTGACTTTTCTTAAAATTATACTTTTTTCCCTATGCTAAAAGAACAAATCTTAGCAGTTAGCACATTTTCAAAAAATGTCAGCCATGTATTTGAAATAAAAAAAATTCTTTTTAATTTACAGACAATTCTAATGTATAGGAGACGTGTTGGGGAGTATCTGAGAAATGTTACCAACCAATTCCTTAAAAGTGTTTAGTGCTACTTAGTCCCAGTTGTGCTTCATTAAACTGCATAAATGACCGCACTCCAAATCCTTTGAGTGCAAGGGAGTGCACTCTCCACCAAGCTGATGATTAAACCCCTCCTTCGTGCCAAGAACACCCGTTGGATCTTCTCCGACCACTCAACTACTAAAGCTGGAAGAGTAATGATAAACAAGAACTGTGGAGGAGATTGAGAAGGTGCTCCTTGTAAGATAAATATTGCATTTTTAAAAATCTCACTGAACCCCATACTGAGTTTGCCTTAAAGATGCACCAAAAGGAAGCCCCAAGTACGAGGCGGGAAGGGATTCCACGTTGCATCCCTGATTGTCAGCAGGGCCATTTAAATCACCACATTCGCCATAGGAATAGTCTCGGATTTGGACAACTTAAAATGTAAAGCAGACGTCACCCCAAAGCACATAAGGATGCATCTAAGATACTGCAGTTGAACCTCCTCCGCCCACAAAAAGATGATACTTTCATCAGCAAAAAGGAGATGGAAAACTGAGATTGCAAATCATCCTGCTCAAGAATTCCATCGCCTAGAAAAAGAAGAGGAGAAATAGAATTGCCTATCCTGAAACTCTATGAAACTCAAGTAAACTCAATAAAGCCTTTTTCAAACTATTTTATATTGATCCTGACCGAAGTTTTACACTGGTTGTTAAGTTCCTATCCTGAAACTCCATGCAACTCGAGTAAACTCAATAAAGCCTTTTTCAAACTATTTTATATTGACCCTGACCGAAGTTTTACACTGGTCTGGTTGTTAATTTAACTAACGTAACTCTCCTCCTTTTTCCGGACTTGAGATCAGTTTGTTTTAGGATAGGGGAAATATGATACGAGCAGAGTCATCCCAAATCTCTGGAAGTTGCAAAGAAGATACAAGGACTCCATTCACCAAAATGGAGAAACAAACAATTCAAATACACCCTCCAAATCCAATTTCTCCATGTAGCTTCAAACATCCGTGCAATCCACAACACGGAGGAAACTTCAACAAACATTATCATTAAAAGGAATTACCCAAATCTGGTCTCGCAACGGCAGGGTCCTGAGAGAAATAAGCTGGTGCATATTAAATTAAATCATTGGGTGATTTAAGTCACAACTCATATAATTTCATGGAACATACAGCTTTTATAAGCAAGAACAGCAGAATAAGAATAAAGTCACCCCTCAACGATGGATTAAAGTTACTAAAGTGATGGCCAATAACCCAATTTGGTATATTAGAATGAAGTGATGATCTACGCAAAACTCAGTATATGCATGCAGCACCCTTACTCAAAAACAAAGTTAACATAAGTAGCAAATTTCATTAGAATCAATGACTGATGAATGAAAAATAAAAAAGAATGTATATGGAAAAAATACCAAACTTTTCAAAGATAAGCCCTCCTTATTGGCATTGATATTGTAATGAACATTGGCAAGTTCATTATGCAACTGACCAGGAAGTGGTGGAACAAGAATATTACCGTGTCAAGAAACAAAGGCTTATCATCTTCTAAAAAGATGTGGTTGGTGCTCTTGTAAAGTTCAAAATCCCACTTTTCTCCACTTTCATGACGTCCACTAGTAATCCAATCAACAATGACCAAGCTTGAGTCTGACACCACTCTGAAGACTTGCTTTTGGGAGTATTTTGCTGTAGAAAAACATGTCACTGGATCTGGAATTACAACCAAAAGAGCATTGCTTCCAATTCTCGCCTACTGCATGGCATAAAATAGCCACCTTTAGTAATAACCTTTAGTAACACAAATGTTAAAATAATAAAATAATAATAATAATAGTAGTAGTAGTAAAAATAATACAGTAATATTTATTCATATTCTGTCCTATATCACAAAAAACTCCTTCCAACTTGTATCATATTTACAAATACATATGGATTTGTAGTAATATGCGTGCCTAATTCAGCCATGATTGACATAACAACAATGAAAGTGTAAAAAGCATCCAAAATTCAACAGTGATCAAATTCTTAAAAAATAGCGTTGCTTGAAATGTTTCATATGTCGCTCAATAAATGCTGTCGTGTGTTTTCATATATGGAATGAAAACACAAAACAAATGCATAAATAGGAACTCCTTCATGAATTACAACCATGTTCTCACTGAATTTCTTGAATTTCAAAAACCAATTCTTTAACAATTATAAAACTGCAATCCTATTAAATCCAAATGCAAATAATCAACAAAACAGTGCAAAGAATATGTCATATGATACTATCATGGTCCCCTCAGAAAACTATTACTTGAAATTATCAGAATTAACTATTACCTCCAAGAATTGTTCAGAGCACTTTGATCCCATGGACTTGTATACCTATATTCAAATTCTAGAAGTTAAAAGAAATATAAGAAATCAAAATATAAATAGAGCTCAGTGAAGTACATAAAATGCAGCTTATGCACTTCCAATAAAAGAAACACAACTTATACAAAATATAACCCATTAATAAAAATATATATAATTAAATATAATGAAATCACAGAAAAACAACTTATACAAAATATAACCCATTAATAAAAATATATAATTAAATTAATAAGATTACAAAAACTGACCTTTGTAGAAGCCTGGGTGGTCAAAACTGTGGTGCAACCATCTCCAATTGTGAAATCACATGATATAGAATCTCCCTATATATACCCAATATAAAGTATTAGTATCAATCAATGAAAAACTGAACATACGCAGTATGTTTTAGTGATAGGAGAGAGAGGGTATAAGAAGTACATACAGAAACAATCCCTCCACCATAGGTGAGGGTGTAAATCCAAACTACATCTGTTTGGGAAGGACCCACCTGAGAAATCCACCATCAAAATCAAATATAAGAATATATGATGTAACACTTTCTCTGATTTTCATGAACTTGTGATTTGATTATTAATCATTGTAGAATGATAATTGAAATTGAGACTGGGGGACTAGTAACTGACCTTTCTGGGGACGATGAATTTGAGAGGATATGTTGAGAAGCATCGGGTGACCGTTGACCTCCCTCCAACTCTCTCCACTACCACCTTCCCCGTTGTCATTTCTCTCTGCTTGTTTCGATCGAATGAGTGCCTGAGAGAGAGAGAGCAAATAGTAATTCTTTTTAGAGGTTTTGGGGGTAATTACAACAAAATGGTATTTTGTTACTCTTTTTACTCTTCACACCAGCAAAATGGATCTGCTAAAAAATATTTCAAAGACATGGAAAATCACTGTTTTGAAAATTTTGAAACCAAGATTACTCTTTTTACTTTTGCCGCGAAATGGCCAATTATCTCCAACCCGCCTGTTCTGCACTTGCACTTTACCAACTTAAAAGTACAGTCTGCTCTCTCACTCACTCCTCACACTCTCTATCTCTCACACACACGCTCGCGGTTTCGTAGAAGGTTAACTTAAGGGCTATTTCCAATTTCTGCATTCAACAAACCCTAAGGTGTGTTTGGATAGTATTAGTTACGAGAGAAAAGAAAAGAAAGGATAGTATTAGTGAGAAAAGAAAAGAAAGGATAATAATAATTTCTATTTGTGTTTGGATAGACAGGGGAGAAAAGAAAAGAAGTGATAGTTATTTTTGTTTGGATAAGATAGAGAAGAGAAAAGAAAAAAAAGGATAATAGACAAATTACTTTTTTACCCTTTCATAACCATGGGACTTGGATGGAATAATAAATCTGTGTATTGATTTGTGGAGGCTAATTTTGGTATTATCAAAATACCACTAAAATCACTATCATTTCTCTCACTATCTCTCCCTATCTTCTCAATTTTGAGGAGAAAGCAAATAAGAGATAAGGAGGGATAGCTATCCCTCCCTATCTCTCCTTATCCCTCCCTATCCCTCCACTTAAGTTACCCAAACACAAACTTACACTATCCTCTCTTTTCTTTTCTCTCCCTATCCCTCCAAATCAACCCTACCAAACACACCCTAAAGGTACTTTGTTTCTCTAGACATGCTGTTGTTATATTCACAGATTACATTAGATACCAATATCTGTTGGCAATACAAGATACCATGATGAGTTTTTGAGTTTCAGTATCTCTCTGATTTGCAATGTAATTGGTCTATATTTTTTTAGTGATAGAATATTTCTTGATTTGGTGACAAATGGCTAGAGATATGTAAAGATTATGGAAGAAATTTTGTGCACTTTCGCCAATACAAATGACAATATATAATCATACTAGATTCTTTTATGCACGTTATTTATCTTTTAATTTGATGAAAAGCCCTATATTTGGTCGGGCTGATGATTTTAGTTGGTGAGTATGATAAGGGCATGAAACCCCCATCCTATATTAGAATTATTTTATCCGGAAATAAAGTTGATAATATTTATAAAACCTCTTGACAAAATAAAAAGGAAAATTTATTAGATTGTTATTGTCCCATAGACCATGTGCTCCCGTCCAATCAAAGTAATCCATTAAAGTCTAATAAGATATTATAAAAAAACCTCAACATAAATTTTGATTGGATTGGACCACTAAGTGACTTATGGTCTTGAACTATCTAACAATTTTTCGAACGGATTATACTTGATATGGTCAGTACCTTGGCAATTTTATAACGAATGTTTTTTGTTTCTTTATATTTATTTAATGTTTATTATTAATTTTAGAATTTTCAGTACACCTTATTACACATGACACAACGCGATTCACGATTTCAAAATAAGTCTGAAGTAATGAAATAATCCGATATTCGTTTCCAAAGTTTCTGATTTCATTTAATTTTGGCTAGCAAGTAGTCATGCGCGTGTAAATGGTTTCTTCCATGAAGCTTTGCATGTTATTCTAATGTGAATTTGAGGTGGCCCTAGAATGTATCTAGTAGATGTTTGTATATATTGACTTCATCAGTTATCCTGGAGATTTTTGTATGATAAGTCTCAATACTACCAGAGACCAAAATATGTTAATGGACAGTTTCTTCTCGTCAGTTTGTTAAGCAATTGTGAGATGAGTTTTGAGTATGAACAAAAATGGGGTTGCTGATGTTACTTGATAATGTGTGTATATGATCTCTTGATTGTTACAGACGCTTGTGAATACATTTACCTGTGCTATCACTGAAATGATTGAGATTCCCTAGAATTGTGAAGTAGAAGTCACCTTTTTTTTTTCTTGTTTCACTTATAAACCAGCTTTATTATTTGTAAGCAATTGGTATATTTTACTGCATATCAATCGGACGGACCTTAACTTTCCTGGGCTAAGTCCTGGTAGTCATATGCATACTTCCCTTGTAGGAAGATATTATTATTAAGGTAAAATGCGAAAACCATCTCTATGCTGTTAGTTTAGCACTTTTAGAAGACTCTTAATGATGCAGTTATGTGTTGGCCCTTGATTGCAAATCTTTGTGTAAGTTCTCGGGTGATTAATTATCAATTGATAGTTGATGCTACAACCGGAGTCAGTTGTCAAAAGTTGATAGTTCAGAGGGTTTTTCGCATATTGCCCTTATTTTCCTCTAGATTGTTTTTCAGATAAGGGATTGTGGGGAATGATAATGAGAAACATTTCAACATGGGGGATGCTCCACTTTCTTAGCTAGCAAATGGAACATTGTTCTTTTAACATTTTCAATTAAAAATATACCAGATATTCCTTCTTCTTTTTTTCTTTTTGTTAATCATCCATATTTGTTTACTTTTTACTGCTTTGGATATCATACTATATAGATTCAGTTAGGGACCAAACCTTTTCTTTAATTGGAAGGTTTGGATGCTTGTTGGTCATTCACCTTAATTCTATGCTTATGTAGTGATGTCATTCCTTTATTTCATCATTTACTTAAATTGTTTCTTTTTCTTCCTTGACGTTTTTAAAATATTGCTCTTTATATCCGAAACATTACTGTATTTTCTTAAACTTAATTTTTTGCATTTTTGCTTTTTATCAATATATTCTATATCGAGAAGCAATCAAAATGAGCCAAGATTAAGCTTCCTCATTAAACTTGCAAAGTTGAGGTCTTAGCCTCAATCCAGCAATCCTTTAAGCTTGTGGAGCTCCAATTATGCTTGGCTGAGTCAACTTATGTCAATCTCATATAGCGTAAGTAGAATGGTCTCATGAGTAATTGGCTTTAGACATAATGAATTTGTGTCACCTGCAAAAAGAATGACGAAGGATAAAAAAAAATGTGTCTGATTATACTTAATGCCATTATTTATTGTGCGTGCAGTGTGCTTAATAAGCCTCGAGCCCTGTAATACAATCAAAGTTTGTTGATATTGAACAGTGGAGCCAAAAAGAGTTGGAGAAATGGATGAGAGAGATGTTGTGTGCTTATTATGCCGCTGGGGTGGAAAAACTGAAAGAAACAGTAACGGGGAAATTAGATACATTGGTGGTGTCACGGAGGGTTTTGTTGTAACAAGCACAATGACATATGAATCATTTGTAGAGGAGTTGCGCCAACGTTCCTCTTTGGACTTGAGTGGTAAAGTCATATATTTTACCATTGGCCACAACAAGCACGAACTTGCCAGGATGCATGATGATTGTGGATTTAGGGCAATGCTTCTTGCGAACAACCGCATAGCAGACATATATGTCGAAGATGCAATGTCTGTTCCTGTACCATGCACAATTACAAGCTGTAATAGCACGAGGTAAGTCATACATATATGAAAAGGTAATAATTTATGTGTGCATTATGTAGAACATGCAACTTATGTTACTTTGTAATCTACATGTAAAGTATTAACTGAAGTTATTGGCAGTGCTTCATCAAACTGTTATGACGCTATTGGGTCCACGTCGCCACCTACTCCAAATATTGTGCATCACAATTCATTCCCACACGTGGAAGATATTACCTGTGAAGGTCAACTATTTGAAAGCCCGGATGATTTTAAAGACGCACTCATGATGTTTGCACTCCATAACCACTTTCGATTCAAGTGCGTGGATAATAGCCGAAATATTAGAGTTTTTTGCGTGGTTAAGGGATGTCAGTGGAAATTAACCGTCGGTTGTGAAGGCAAATGTGATACAGTAAGAATCAAACGATTTATTAATGTTCATACCCACACTGCTCAAGACATTCTTGAATATAAACCTGTTATCAAGTCGAAGGATATAGAGGGTGATTTTTCCATTGGCATGACTTACATGCAAGGGTGGAGGGCTAAGGAACGTGCAAGTCGTGTCATTGAAGGGCGTCCAGAGGATAGCTACATTTTAGTCCCTTGGTTGTGCCGACGACTATCAAAAGTTATTCCCGGGACAATCACATCTTGGGATTGCACAGACAATAAGAGAATCAAACGAGTGTTTGTAGCTTATGGATGCTCTATACGAGGGTTCCTCAGATATTGCAGACCCATCTTATCAATTGAGGCTTGCCACTTGAGTGGCAATTACAAAGGCACAATGCTATGTGCAACAGGTTTGGATGCGAATGAAGGATTGTGGCCTTTGGCGTACGCTATCGTTTCCAGTGAGAATGATGAGGATTGGTTTTGGTTCTTAAGCAAGGTAAGGGACATTCTAGACAATCACACTGTGACAATCTTAACTGACAAGCATCCGAGCTGGATAAGCGCTGTTAGGGAGCTTTTTGGCTCTCATTGCCACTCATGGTGCCTTCGTCATTTGATGGATGAGTTCTCAAGATTCATTGATGGTAGAACAAGTCTAAGATTGAATGGTTCGGGTAAAGAAACGGCAAAACAGATACTTAATAATATTGCATATGCTAGGACTGAATATGAGTACAAGAATGCAATGGCCATGATGGCAGCATTTCGAGTGGAGCTAAGCGATTGGGTTTTGGAGAATTCACCGGAACATTGGGCAAATGCTAAGTTTTCCTCTAGGCGTTGGGATAAATTACTCGTTAACCAAACAGAGTCCTTCAATGCATGGGTGCAAAAGGAGAGAATATTTTCAATCAAATGGCTCATGGAGGAACACATGCGAAGACTCACGGATTTTTTATACAAAAAAAAGGTGGACGTTGAGAAGTGGACAATCCCGGTTGGAAATTGTATTGAGAAGAAAATTAAGGATTGTCAAGGTCATGCACTTGGCTTTAGTTTGATGCGTGTTTCTCATACTGAGTGTACAGTGTTTGAACAAAATGGAAGACCATTCAAGGTGGTTTTGAAGCCTGAACCGTATTGTAGTTGTTTGGGGTGGACCATGATCGGGATCCCTTCTTCGCATGCATGTTTTGCCATTGAAAAGTACTCATTGAATATTTATGACATGGTTGATTCATGTTTCAAGGTTGAAACGCAGCAAAAATTATGTGACCATCTCATGTCTTCTGTCGCCATGCATGATATGCCGGACATTTCACGTGCTGAAGGTGAAGGTACTTCTGCTTTCATACCACCCATGGGAAGACGTTGGACGACCCCGTATGAGACGGATTGGATCACAGCTCCAAAGTAAAAGGCAGGT